AAATATATAATGTAAATTTAAATTTGTAGGAGGGAAAAAAAAAAAAAAAAAAAAAAATTTGGGCTCAGCCGGGAATTGAACCCGGGACCTCTCGCATTCAGACTAACCCAAAGCGAGAATCATACGACTAGACCACTAAGCCTTAACCACTCGACCATGAGAGGAAACCTTACCCGATTGTCCTTTTCATGCCCTATCACTCCATTCAGCATAATGATATGTGATTACATCACAGCATTATCACCAGCACTTAACCTCTTAAATGAAATATTTACAATTCCAGTACATGTCTGTATTTCCAGTCATGTGACTGTCAAGGCTATTAATCAGCGGGTACATGGTCGGCTCCCATTAATCAGCAGGAATATGGTTAACTAGTTAACTATAACTATAAGGTCTCGTCATCTGCAACCACACCTCTTAATTCAATTCAATTCCAACCCAACTCAACTACACCACTCAATCCAACCCAGAATAATAAAACAACATGGCCCCCAAAATCGGCGTCTTCCCCGCCTCCGGCAGTCTCGCAACTTCCATCATAAACCACCTCCTCCGCCTCGTCCCCGCCAGCGAACTCCTCCTCATCGCTCGCTACCCCGACAAATTCGCCCACCTGAGTCGTGACGGCGCAACGATCCGCTACGCTGACTATGATGAGCCCGAGTCGTTGAAGAAGGTGTTTGATGGGGTGGGTGTGTTGATGCTGGTTTCGTATGCGTCGTTTGAGATTGAGCATCGTGTTGAGGTACCCTTCCCCAGTATAAAGGATATGTCGTGGATGGTGGGTGCTAACGCAGATAACAGGCACATAAAAGAGCGGTTGATAGTGCAGTCCGCAGCAACGTCCAACAAATCTTCTACTCCTCGCTCGCCTTCGGCGGCGACTTATCCACAACCTCCGTCGCGCACGTAATGGGCGCCCACCTCGCAACCGAAGAGTACCTCGCCAACCTCAACCCAGGCTACTTCTTCAACTATACCGCCATCCGCGAGGGCATATACTCCGAGTCCTTCCCGATCTACACAGCCTGGTTCGACCCGTCCGACCCTGCCTCACCACCAAACAACGAGATCACAATCCCGCACGACGGGTCCGGTCCGGGTGTGGCCTGGGCGAAACGTGATGAATTGGGCGAGGCGACTGCGAAGATGATCATCTCGTATGTGAAGAACCCTGAGGGATTCCCGTATGTGAATCGGGTGGTGCTGCTTAGTGGGCCGCGGGAGGTGAGTTTGAAGGAGACGGTTGAGGTGTTGGGACGGGCTACTGGGAAGGACTTGAGGATTAGGGAGATTTCGGTGGAGGACTATGCAGCATTGCCGCAGATTAGGGATAGGCATATGTATCATGGGAGGGATTTGGCGGTGGAGTGGGCGAGTGCTTGGGAGGGGATTCGAAGGGGGGAGACGGCTGTTACGACGGCGGTGTTGGAGAAGTGGTTGGATAGGGAGCCGGAGGAGTATGAGTCTACTATTGAGAAGTTTATTAGGGGTCAGTAGTGTAGTGTTCTAGTGTAGTGTACAGATTAGATGTTATTTAAATGTTGGGTATCACAGACATTCATCCAGTCGTAACGCCTATTGTATATTGTCGCATTCGCCAAAGCCATCCTCATCTTTGTTCGTATGACTTCTGGTATCACACTCCACAATCGTCGAATCCTTCGAAATATGTTTATCAGTCGTCTTTTTCTCAGCTGTATGTAGAAACAACTCGACCAGCTATAAAGTCAGCATCTGAACCAGAACGACCTGATCGCAACATACCTGAACGCAAATCGGAGACGCAAAGCTCTCTTTAGCAAGTAAATCCTCTAACTGACGCATAGAACTAATTGAGTGTCCTTTATACAACCCATGCGCCCTCAAATCCGGGGCGAAGAAATCCGGATCTGCCAGGTTCGCAAACCGTTCCTCGACACTGTCGTCGTCGGAATCCTCCATCAGCGGTTCCTCACGACAGACGAACCTGAATACGTTAGCGTAGTTAATTCATATGGTTGAAGAACGTACACAATAGGACACAATCCCAGGCTCAGAATGGTAGCTAGCTCCCGCGAGGCATGTTGGAAACTTGCCGTGTCGATAAGCACTATGACTCGGCTTGTTGAGCCCAGTTCGCTCGCAGAGCAGCAGGCTCCTAGGCATGCTCCGAAGGATACGTCCTTGCGTTCCCAGATGGGGTGGTGGACGTAATTCTGGGCGTCTTCAGTGGGGAAATGGTTGATTAAGAGATCGCCGTCGCGCATCCACTTCATTATCCGGAGACAAAGGACGTCTCTGGTAATAGGCTCGTCGTCGTCGGTTTCATTGAACTCGAGACGGTTTAGCGGATCGTCGATGCCTCTGCTTTGTGGAACCGGGCCGGAATTGAGATCGACTTCGTCCAGACGGCAAAGTATGGATTTAAGCAGACCCCGTGCGCGTAGACCATAGCTTATCGTACGGCCAACGAGGTGTTCGTCCATGTAGATCTCGATCTTGTTATGGAAGTTGAGGAAGTGAAGATGACGGGTGGTGTTGACGTGGGATCTGAGGGCTCCAAATTGAATGACTAGGTCGGAGGCGTCAACTCGCTCTTTAATACCTGGAGCTGATTGTAGTCCAGCGTACAAACCACCGTGATTCGGGAGCGAGGCGTCAATAGCATGTCTGCCCTCGATCGTGACAAAGGTGGGCAATTTAGTTCTCTTGACAAACTCCTGCACCTGCGACTGGATAGCCTGTTTGATAACACCACCGTCAACGATAATCACTGGATCATTGGCAGAAACCATATAGCGCAAGATAACCTCTGCGACATGTTCCTCCTTCTTCGGGTCATTTCGCGGCACGGCCTTAAACACAGGACTCTGAAGCAGCTTTCCCTCGACCAAACATTTCGCATACGCCATAGGAAGTCCAATATACACAGGACGAGAGCTGATCAAACAATCACTTAGCGCATCGTCAATCCGTCTGGGCGCGTAAGCGATGTGATCGAAAATTCCCAGCACCACCACGCTGCTGTAGGCCAAGGCCTGATCGATCGAGCCAATCTGTCCCTGTCGCAGCAGTCGTCGAATAATCTCTCGATTTTCGTCCTGCTTCGTTGATGTATAGCCAACAATGTGCACGACGGGGATGTTATCTGCATGTGCTTCGAAGAGGATATCGTTGGTTGTCGTTTCAAGGGAGCCATGGGTGGTTACGAGCGCTGAGATGCCTTTGATGCGAGCGTAGGCGTCTGCTGCGAAAACTATATATCTTTTAGTATCTGTTCGAAGCCGAGTCTGTGGAGAACTCACCAGCGTGCACTTCGTTGAAGCTCCTGGCGTACTTGAGACCTGCTTTGCTCGCAGCTGCCACGATCGAGTTGTCGTATTCGAAGAGGCTGCCATAGACGGTGCCGATTCCCAGCTGGGCGAGTCTGGAGTAGAGATATTGCACAAGCTCCATGGGAGACTCCAGCTTTTGGTTTTCTGTCATTGTGCTTGTGCGATCCAGTTGATGGATGGAAGAAGAAAGGAAAAAGGTGGAAGGGTGTGAGTAAAGCCATCTTGCTGTTCACACAGTGAATATAGCTGCTCTGCTTTCTTTCAGTCATTGTCAGGGCTTGAGTGAATACACTCTATACAAAGATTGAGTGGCTTGTCAGTGAAGACTGAACAAAATCTGTAGAGCTCAACAGGATCTCTCATATTGGGCAATTGAGTGTGTCAACAGACATCAATAGAAACATACAAGTACTAACACTTGATAGTTAGTTAGTTACTCTACTCTCGATGGCACACAGCTTAGTCATACTCATAACGAACATAAACTATCCCATCATAATTAGCATAAATTCTACAACGCAGTCCGGGAACTCCCGCAGTAGTATGACCATCATCTGCATGCAAGGACAGGAAATCGGATTCCTGCACTCGGCACTTGGACCGTTATTGAAATCCCGCCTGGAATACAATTCTGGCCCTCTGGGCCCCTGTCCTGGAAACCATTCTCCTGCTTCCTGCCAGGATCCGATGCGACACGATGCAGGGGTATGTACAACGGCCAGGGTTCTTTGAATATTCTAGCAACATTGTTATTTTTTGTCCGCAGTCCAAGGTCCTCTAGTACTTTTGCTGTACTATGTATATCGCCCGACAATTCTCGTCCGTAGCAGTAACTCTCCCGATTCGGGAGATTTAGGTAGGACATGGCACGTGCCGCGACAGGTCACGGGACGATCGACCGTTAGGATCCGGTGTCACACCACTGTATTAGCCAATGACAGGGTGTGTATTGCATATCACGGAAGAGTCCGCCGAGCGCAACAAATTCTCCCATTGGTTGGGGATTCTCAACGGCGCTGCGTTAGGCGCGGATACCAGATCTGACAGTGCTGAGTCAGCGGGACTGTGATTGGACAGACTATCGGCAATGAATTACTCCGGGTCGCTTGAAAGTGTCGGCTCCGAGACTCGGCCGGAGTGTCACTCTAGTATACTCTACTCTATACGCTGACGCTGCCACTTGAAAGGCTCTTCGGAGCCGCCCGATCCATAAACGCTCTGGATGCTGTCCTTCCGGCTGGGGTGATTTCGGTTGTTCTTCACCGGCAGCTACGAAGCTCGTTAAGCAGCAGACGCAGCGTCATCATCACCAGCATCATGTCGGACAGGACAGGTTTCGGCTGATATTTCGCGAGAGGATCCTCCTTTTATATATAGGCCGGCCTTTGCTCGCTTTTCTTGACCGTTTTTATCTGGCCATTGAACACCGAAAGATTTGCATTGCTTACATTTGCATCTACCACACATCTATCTACTCTATTTCCCCCTCTCTATTTGTCATGTCCTTCTACCAGCCTAGTCCAGACACTATCAAGGGTCCTGATCCTTTGACCGACAATTGGACTTATGATAGTGCCATTGATCTTTTTTCTTGGAATCCTATGATGCCCGATCCTTTTACCTTTGATCTGCCTGACGATCTCATGAACTTTGAGTCTAAGGATATGTCTGCGGGCATGGTCGCTCCATCGGAAATTAGTGGCTTTGCCATTGGCAACCATATGGGCGAGGATGCTGCCTCAATATCTGTACGTTCTTTTCTACATATATGAAGTCTCTTTGGGCACAAGCTAATGTGTATAGGACCCCGAGAGTGACGACCACCCATGGTCCCCCTCTGCCCATGCAGCCTTCCCTGAGCTCTCTCCCGTCACATCGACAGAGCAATACCATCAAGAGACCGCTCGATACTCAACTACTCCCGATGCCACCTCACCTCAAGAACAACCCTCCTCACCACCAACGCGATCTACTCGCAGACGATCATCCGCTGACGGCCCCGTCCGCAACGCCGCCAAACGAGCTGCCCACAACGTCATTGAAAAACGCTACAGAACCAATATGAACGCCAAGTTTGTATCTCTCGAGAAAGCAATGAACGGCGACAATGGCGTGCAGAAATCGTCAAGGGGTGGAGGGTCCGCGTCGCTTAAGAAATCTGAAATCCTCTCCAACGCTATCGCCTACATGCACGGATTGCAAGAGGAGAATCGGTATTTACAAAAGGAGCTGGCTATCGCTAAACAGAACCTTGTGCCGGCAGGGATATGGCGGGGTGCTCCTAAACGGGAGACAAGTTATCGTTAACTTGTTCTTCCTTGTGGTTGTTTATATTTTTACGACGTTACGTGTATAATAATACTCTCCCCTCGGGTCAAAAGTTATTAGTCTAATTAATCACAACCGTCGCCTCATCGATGCTCAGTTCTCGTACTCAATTCTTGTACTCTCATGACTCCTGTCGTCATATTTTGCCCAAGCCCCTAACCGGCCGAATCCAAAATTCCGGAATTTACCCGAAGTACCTCCAAGCTTAATCCAGTCCTTAACGAGATTAACTGGTCCAAGCTTTATACCCACAACCAATGCAGGTACCAGCGATACAACCGTTCCAATATCTACGGATATTTTAACATAGTCTAGCCTGTGCTCCAGAACCCTTCAGAACCGAGTTTGACGCTTCCATGGATCGCATTTGAAACAGGGTTGGTTCCTGAGCTTATCTTGTTGGGAGTGGTACGCACGTGATTTCTGGTCGGATAGGGAAGGGTGTTTATCGATACCATAGACTGAGTATCTTCAGGCATTGGTGCCCAACTTGTCCAAGGTGGTGGACGAAATACGGGATACCCTTGTATACTTGTAGGCATCACTGAAAGGAGTGCATGAAGTCTTGGCCGATACCCGTATTCTGTAATGACTCTTGTATCAGGGGGTCCCGATATTTATAGCGAGGATAATACAGAGAGTACAGAGTACAATGTCAAGAATAATCCAAGAAATGCCCGGCTCGCGTATTCGTACTTGTCTTATGCCGAGACCCGATTATTGCAATAATTGGTGACAAGGAGTACAGGTCAGAATGCCAGGTATGTCGAGTACGGAGGACGGAGGACGGAGGACTCCGCACGCGTGAAGAGAGGGGTCAGCAGTACACTACAATAGCAATTGGATTATGGAATATGACTGAATAACTCTTGGGAATTGCTTCTGTCTCAAGGACGTGTCAATAATTTTGGTTCTATGCTGTTTGAAGCTGAATCTGCTACATAGTGCTCTGTACCGACTCTACTGCCAACCCCTGACGATCGTCCCTCGCGTTCGAGGTATCTAGCGTGCATTCTTCATAATATGCACAAATATCTGCTCTACTCCGTAGTATTAAAGAGTATCCTGTAGAACATAGCATCATAACATAAAAAATAATAAGATCGCCGGAGCCCTCCGATGCCCCAGACGTGATCCGGCAATTGTCCGCACTGCCCCCGCTGAGTAGAGCTCTTAGTCTCTTTCCGTTATCTCTCCTTTCCTCTCTTAACACACTTTCTTTAACTAACTCTTGTCGCTCCTTTTTTCTTTCTTTTTTTTCTAATTTCTCTTGGTGAGGATAATTGCTTCACCAGAGATGTTGTCATTCGTTCATCGGGGAGCTCTCTCCCTCGCCCTCGTTTCGCTGTTGACCTCGTCTGTCGCCGCCGAGGTCTTCGAGAAGCTCCGTGTTGTGCCCGAAGGTACGGAGTATCTCAGACCACCCATTATGCAGTTCAATGCTAATATAATTGAATAGGCTGGAGATATGCCTCCACTCCTGATCCCAAACAACCCATTCGCCTTCAGATCGCTCTGCAGCAGCACGATGTCACCGGTTTCGAACAGTCCGTCTTGGAGATGTCGACTCCCGACCACCCCAACTACGGAAAACACTTCCGCACCCACGATGAGATGAAGCGCATGCTTCTCCCCAACGATAATGCCGTGAGCGCCGTCCGCGAATGGCTGCAAGACGCCGGAGTTAGCGACATCGAAGAGGATGCCGACTGGGTCCGTTTCCACACCACCGTCGACCAGGCCAACGACCTCCTCGACGCCAACTTCCTCTGGTACGCGCACAAGACCCAGCGTAACACAGCGCGTCTCCGCACTCTCGAATACTCGATCCCGGATTCGATCGCGCCACAGGTCAACGTGATCCAGCCGACCACGCGATTCGGACAGATCCGTGCCAACCGGGCTACGCATAGCAGCAAGCCCAAGGGTGGACTTGATGAGTTGGCTATCACGCAGGCAGCTACGGCGGACGATGATAGCATTTGTGGTCAGATCATCACCCCGCACTGTCTGCGGAAGCTCTACAATGTTAATGGCTACAAGGCCGATCCCGCCAGTGGCAGCAAGATCGGTTTCGCTAGTTTCCTGGAGGAATACGCGCGGTACTCTGATCTTGTGCTGTTCGAGGAGAACCTGGCGCCATTTGCGGAGGGCGAGAACTTCACCGTCGTCATGTACAATGGCGGCAAGAATGACCAGAACTCCAAGAGCGACAGCGGCGAGGCCAACCTCGATCTGCAGTACATTGTGGGAATGGGCGCGGGCGCGCCCGTGACCGAGTTCAGCACCGCCGGTCGCGCACCCGTCATCCCGGACTTGGACCAGCCCGACCCCAGCGCCGGTACCAACGAGCCGTACCTCGAGTTCTTGCAGAACGTGCTACGCATGAGGCAGGAGCACCTGCCGCAGGTAATCTCGACCTCCTACGGCGAGAACGAACAGACCATCCCCGAGAAGTACGCCCGCACCGTCTGCAACATGTACGCGCAGCTGGGCAGCCGTGGTGTCTCGGTGATTTTCTCGTCGGGCGACTCCGGCGTCGGCTCTGCCTGTATGACCAACGACGGCACAAACCGCACTCACTTCCCCGCGCAGTTCCCCGCGTCCTGCCCCTGGGTGACATCGGTCGGGGCTACTGAGAAGTTCGCCCCGGAGCAAGCGGCATATTTCTCCTCGGGCGGATTCTCTGACCTCTTCCCGCGCCCGAAGTACCAGGACGTTGCTGTCAGCAGCTACCTTCAGACCCTCGGTCCCCGGTACCACGGTTTGTACAACGGTTCCAACCGTGCATTCCCTGACGTCTCCGCGCAGGGCACCAACTTTGCTGTGTACGACAAGGGCCGTCTGGGCCAGTTCGATGGTACTTCTTGCGCTGCTCCCGCGTTTAGCGGTATCATCGCTTTGCTCAACGATGTCCGTCTCCAGAACAACAAGCCTGTCCTGGGCTTCTTGAACCCCTGGCTGTACGGCGCTGGAAGAAAGGGCCTGAACGATATCGTCCACGGCGGTAGCACGGGATGCGATGGACAGGAGCGATTTGCGGGCAAGGCCAATGGAAGCCCCGTCGTGCCGTACGCTAGCTGGAATGCTACGCAAGGCTGGGATCCAGTTACAGGCCTTGGAACGCCGGATTTCGGCAAGTTGAAGGAGTTGGCTTTGTCGGCTTAATTGTACATTACCACCGACTATCGTCATCATTCTTAGTATAGTGTATCATATCCCTAGTATAGTGAATCTGGTACAGTTTCCTCTTTGAGTAAGATTCCTATCAGGACGTGCATATCAGACAGACATGACATTGATAAACAAGATAGGAACTCCCCCATATCAGTTCGCATAGAACTGCCTATTCGATATTCTTCACATGTCAGTCATCCAATAAGAACCCAGGATCTGAATCTTATCTAGATAACCAAGACAAGTCCTCCCGAACCCCGCAATCTGTAATACGCCAAACACCGTTTTCGTCTCCAGGGTGTTATACATATATCAATCCAGACCACAGCATAAATCATGCCATTATACAGCATATACAATACTCAATTGACCACATATGGACCCCGAAAACCAGACGCATAATGCCTCCAGCACCTTTCCCCCGGGCCCATCCGGCGACGCACCAACCAAACCCAGCCCCGAACAAAATGATTCCACCCAGAACCAAGGATTAACCCTCAAATTCACCCCCTGGAGCATGCTCTCCCTCGCCTTCTCCGTCCTCGGCACCTACTCCACCTTCGCCCAAGACCTCTCCTCAGGCCTCACAAACGGCGGCCCCATAACGATCCTCTGGGGTCTAGTGCTGGTCACAGCGTGCAATCTCGCCGTCGCATTGTCGCTGGGTGAACTGACGAGTTCCATGCCCACGGCGCTGGGACAGGCGTACTGGGTACATCGCATGTGGGGAACAAGAACTGGGAGGGTGGTGAGTTATATGTGTGCGTGGATTAATGTGTTTGGGTGGTGGACGTTGGGGGCGAGTATGGTTGCGTTTATGACTGATTTTACGCTGGGATTGAGGGGCTTGTTTGGACAGGGGGAGAGTGCGGGTTGGTTGAAGTTTGTGCTGTATGTTGTGTTTACGTTTTGTTTGACGGTTGTTAATGTGGTTGGATGTCGACGGGATCGGATACTGCCGTGGTTGAATAATTTCGTGGGCGCGTGGTTTATCGCGTTGTTTGGGATACTCTCGCTTGCGATGTTGATTGGGGTTGGTGTGAGGGATAGCCGGGGGTTTCAGTCCGGGACGTTTGTCTTTGGGGCGTGGATTAATGCGACTGGGTGGAGTGATGGGGTTGTGTGGTTTACTGGTCTTGTGCAAGCTGCTTATGGGCTTACGGCATTCGACTCGGTGATTCATATGGTTGAGGAGATTCCGTCGCCGAGGACGAATGCGCCCAGGATTATTTATCTTGCTGTGGGGTCTGGTGCGATGACGGGGTTTATCTTCATGGTTGTGTGTCTATTCTGCATCCAGGATGTGGATAGCGTTGTCAATGCATCTTTGCCGTTTGTCACGCTCATGAACGAGACTGTTGGCCGGGATGCTGCAACCACGCTTCTGGTGCTATTCATCTTCAACGGTCTAGGGCAGGGCGTCAGCATCCTCACCACCTCCTCCCGTCTGACATGGGGTTTCGCGCGCGACGGCGGCCTCCCATTCAGCACATACCTCTCACACATCGACCCGGTCTGGAAAGCACCCGTGCGCGCCATCTGGGCACAAGGCATCATCATCGCCCTAGTCGGCGTCCTCTACCTCTTCGCCGACACCGTCCTCGAAGCAATCCTCAGCGTCAGCACAATTGCGCTAACAATCTCCTACGGCATCCCGATCGCCGTGTTACTCTTCATAACCGGCCGCGAGAACTTACCCCTGGGGTGTAAATTCCACCTCGGACGCTGGGGGAGTACACTGAACTATGTGAGTTTGGTGTATTGTTGTGTGACGACGGTGTTTTTCTTTTTCCCGGGGAGTCCGCAGCCGAGTGTTGCGGAGATGAACTGGGCGATTGCGGTGTTTGGGGTTATGTTGGTGATTGCGGGGGTGTTTTGGGGGTTGAAGGGGTGGAGGACGTATTTGAGGACTGAGGAGGCGGGGTTGAGGATGCTTGTTGCGAGGGAGTTGGAAATCGAACAGGAGGAGGAAGAGGAACAGGAACGGGTGCATGCTGTGGATGTGGGTAAAAAGTAGTCATGACTCGTATTATGATTATGTACTAGTATCGACATATATCCAACCTTCCTTCTCAACTTCAAAACACAAACAGGCCTCAAACCTAGAAAGCCCCAAGAATAACAGATCCCAAAACAACCCCCAAAACCCCCAATCCCGACTTCGAAACCCTAGCCGAACTCGCCATCCCACTCTCCGTACTCGTCCCCGAACTCGACCCCGAAGTACCCGTCCTCGTCGCCTCCCCCGTCACACTAGCCGTCGCAGTCGCATTCTCCTTATTATTACAAAACACATCCTCAAAGCCCGCCCCGTTATCCGTAAGACATTTCGTGAGGTCGCCGACGGATTGTTCCTGCGCGAGACAGTAGAGGCTGCAGTCACCGTCTGTTTTCTCGACGGAGGCGGGCGTGCAGCATTTGTCCATTATGGAGGTGGCGTTGTTGTGGTTTATGAGGCCACAGGCGGAGTCTTGGGTTGGGAGGACCCAGCTATTGCCGGCGCAGGCGGTTGATGTGGAGGAGACGGATGTGGTGGTGGATGACATTTTGGTGGTTTTTGTTTGTTTGTTTGTTTGTTTGTTTGTTTGTTTGTTTGGTGGTAGAGGTGTGTATGGAGGAAGAGTTTTATTTAAAGACAATAGAGTGAGCTTGAAAGATGTGCAGACTCGGAGTAAGGTGAAAAGGGTTCTATAAGTATTAGCAGAGACAGCAGACCCGCTAAATATAGCATACCGCTGACTGGGTCATGTTTCTGATCTATAACCTTGGGTTGCATAACTCAGACATATGAACACATTGAAGAAATTGGAATATCCCGATGGCAGGAATGCACCAACAACTCATCGCCACGCATATACCGCTTACTCTTAGTTTTTACTATTTCAGTCGATTCCGAGACACTGGGCAGCGGGCACCAGGCATGACCGCTTCTTGACATGTCATATCCTGCGAACAGAGTTCGATAGTTGGCTGTACGAGTATGTATGAGTACGAGCACTCTGTACGCAGGGATACCTATGACAAAAAAGTAGCACAATATGCATCACTGTTTCAGATTCCGTTATCCCATGTTTGCCCTCTGTTTTACTATGGCTGGGCCGGCTGGGCTCGGCGGAGCTATCAATCAATGGCTCCGGAATGTACGGAGGATGGAGGATGGATGTCTCCACGAGCGAATCCACTTGTTTTACTTTGACCGTGGCGCCAATCGTTAGAATATATTAAGGGACTAACTAAAAGTTTGCTTTTTTTTTTTTTTTTTTTTTGTACGGAAGTGTTCTGATTTGTTAATGTTCTTCGGTGTGGCCCAACATGAATCTGACTCGGATTTTGGGAATGCGCTTTGTTGGTCAATTGTTAGCAGGATGACTAGAAGCGATTCCGTATGCGATTCTGCAACTGATGAGTCTTGTTTGTTTGCGTTTCTTACGTGGATGGGTTTGGCAAGATTCCAGCATACGTGTGCGCATAACTAAAAATATGCTGATGAGTAATACATAAGGCTGAAGACATGCACCGCCACAGTTTTGATCGGCGTGGCTTGACAGTACGGTGGTTTCTTTAAGAGCTGCAGCATCAAGTTTGTGAACCACGCTTTCCATGGTCTATCTTTATAAATTATGGCAATATGGTAGCGGATGAAAATAGGACCACGGATAGGATTCATTTTGACCACGGTGATGAACAGGTACGTGCCAAAACTCGTTCCAATAACCATGGCTAAGTGCTAATTGATGAATGAATCAGTGCTCCGTACGCGAGATCCGAACGGAATGCCCAGATTCAGACTCATAAAACACTTCGCTGAGATCTCATAGCTCAAGCCCACGTTTCGTTACTCAACTTATCGTCGAAGCGAAATCACGGAAGACCTAGTCCTATCTTCTCCGCGGACCAGTACAACCTTTCAACGATGTCCTTCCACAGAGTCTGTATTCCAGCCAGGAAAATACGCCATCTGTCTAGAGAACTAGCGGCCAATGCGAGGATTTGGCGTGGAGTACAGGACCTGGGCGCGTCATACTTTGTGCGGGGGATTTTACGGAGATGAAGTGGAGCTGATTGACATGTCCAACAGCTGCTAGCACGACAGTTCTTGACCATGAAGACCACACTGTGCGAAAAATGCCTTGTGTTGAGTGTTATCATGGCCTCAACGCGGAGATGCGCGGAGATGAGGGACATCTCCGCGACCCCCGCCATAGTGGGACGCGTCGATTGAAAACAAGCGATGCGGAAACGGTTGTGACGGAAAAAAAGGGTCAGAGTGGTGCAATTGAGTATTCAGCCTTCACAGCTATATATATATGTCGATAGAATCGTTCAATTGATCAATTGCGCAAGGTCAATCAATTGTCCAGAAACTTTACCATGGCGAATACCCTTACCAACTATGCGGCCTACATCGACCCAACCATCCAAACATCCCGGATAGGGCATTTGGACCTTGGGATATCTACGATCACGCCTCTATCTTTCCGGTCTGGCGCCCCTCTCACGAACCTCTACCAAGTGATCAATGCCGGCGAGGCCAACATCGCGACGTACCCAGGGCAAGAAACCCTCCCACTATCCAGCGTCAAACTCCTCCCCCCAATCTCGGACCGCGACGTCCTAGCCGTGGGAAAGAACTACTTAGAGCACGCGCGTGAATTCAACACCTCTGGCTTTGATGCCAGCGACAAGAATGACCAACCGACTCACCCCGTCATTTTCACTAAACGCGCCACCTCGATCATCGGCCATGAGGACCCTATCCTTCTCCATCCGGAATTCACCAGCACCCCCGACTACGAGGGTGAGATTGGGGTGATTGTTGGAAAGCCTGGTTTTCGAGTCTCTGAAGAACAAGCCATGGAGCATATCTGGGGCTACACGATTATCAATGACATGACAGCGCGCGAACGCCAGCGCGACCATAAGCAGTTCTTCCTGGGTAAATCGCCAGATACGTTCTGTCCGATGGGTCCAATTGCCGTACCCAAGGAGGCGCTACCAGAGGATTTGATAGTGCAGACGCACGTGAACGGGGAGAAGAGACAGGAGGCGTCAATTCGGGAGCTGATCTTTAGTATCCCAACTTTGGTGGCGAGTATCAGCGCCGCGCAGACGTTGCAGGCCGGTGACGTGTTGGCAACGGGAACGCCGTATGGTGTGGGATTCGGATTTCGGCCGATGAAGTTTTTGCAGCCTGAGGATGAGGTTTGTGTTAGTGTTTCAGGGTTGGGGACGTTGAAGAATCCGATTGCTAGTCTTGATGCTGTCAATTATACGACCGAGAATGTGAAGAATGATCGAAGTGTCATTCCTGTGTCGAATGCGAAGGCTCCCGCGGGATCGGGATTGCACAGGATCAACGGAAAGGATTTCTTTTACCAGCACGTTGGCAACGAAGATGGACCACCTGTGATCTTCATCCACGGACTGGGCGCATCGTCTACATATTACACTCCGTTGATTTCGAAACTCGAACAATCGCATTCATTGCATTTCCTTGACCTCGAAGGACATGGCCTCTCCCCGACATCAGCATCGAGCGAACTTACGATTGCCTCATATGCAGAGGACATATACCAACTTATCCAATTCGCATCAATCAACACCCCAGCCACAATAATCGGCCACTCAATGGGGTGCCTCATCGCCGCACACCTAGCCCTCCACCACCCAGAACAAGTCTCCAAACTCATCCTCCTAGGACCTCCGCCCTCGCCCCTCCCCGAACCCGCCAGTCAAGCGATGTACGCCCGCGCCGCCCTAGTCCGCGAAAAAGGCATGCTAGCCGTCGTCGACGCAATTATCCAAGCTGGTCTATCTGCGCAAGTCCGCGCGAATAACCCTCTAGCCGTCACGGCTGTGCGGCTGTCACTGCTAGGACAAGATGCGGAGGGGTATGCGAAGGGGTGTATGGCATTGGCTGCTTCTGCTAAAGACACATTAGACTTTAGCAAGGTTCGGTGTTTGGTTGTTATTGTTACTGGGGAGGAGGATAGGGTTGGGTCGGTGGAGGTCTGTGAGAGGTATGCGGGGCAGGTTGAGGATGGGAGGGTTGACGTGCTTAGGGGTGTTGGGCATTGGCATTTGCTAGAGGATGTACAGGGGTGTGTTGAGGCTGTATTAAGTGCGCTATAGTACTATCTTATAGAATAACCAATTATAGTTGACCAACACTGCCTCATGAATACTACGAGAATGTAGAATACGGGCAGTCACGTTCACCGACAACACAAAATCAACCATCTTTTCTACATCGTACACCACCATTACAACAAACCAAACAAGACACTTCAAATAAAATGACCCAAAACAACGACAACGACAATGGCCCCTTCACCCCCGCCCCCTCCCCCTGGCATAACATGAAAGCCGATGTCTTCTGGTCCGTCGCCTGGATGTCCGCCGCAAACGGGCTCCCAGCAGGAACCTACGGGCTACGGCCCACTAGAAGCAAACTCCAGCTTTGGGGATCCAGAGGCGAGCGGCAAATATATAGGTGGGCCGGGAGTGTGTATGATTGTGTGGTACAAGGATACCCCTGTCGGGCCGTATGATGAGGTTATTTGGATGCCGGAGTACTTCGAGATTCCGGGGATGGGGAGGAAACATGCTAGGATAGCGAGGATTTATGTTTCGAGGATGGAGTCGGTTTTTAACGGTTAGTTTACTTTTCCGGGGTTGAGGTGATGATGAGCTGATGGTGTTTATCTAGGACGGAGGAATTGGAATATTCCGAAACAAGTATACCCCAAAACCAACAACCATCTAAATACACCAAACTCACAAAATAAGCTGGCCAACTTCACCTTCCACCCCTCCCCCTACACCAAAATCGAAGTCTCCCTCTTTTTTTAACCTAGAAAACCCCTTCATCTCCATATCCCTAAACCCCATCTCCATCCCCTTCCTCTCCCGCCCCACTCTCCCCATCTCAACCTCCTACAACCCTCTAAATCTCGACTTCGCAATGCCTCCCATCCCGCAGAGCGAGAACTGGGCCGAGGACGGACAGATGGGTTCGGTTGATGGGGGATGGCGGATTTCGAGGGTTAGTGTTTCGAGAAGGTCGGCGTTCGTGAGGGTTGGTGGAAGTAGGTTGGGATTTGTTATGGTTGGGGATAGGGTTGGTGGTTGTTTACGGCATTAGTCGTTTACTGTGAAATCGATTGCAAGAACGGGTATTCTGGATATGCTGAAGGTTTCGTATTCGTGTAACCGAAAGGTCGAATAGAGCGCGATTCCTTAAACGTAACTGAGCATGACAGCAGAAACACACGAAACCGAAAGCAAACCAAAGGGCCATTCCGGCAGTCATCCACCCCAGCCTGCACGACCAGCCCCGATCCCACTGTCGATTCCTGCAACGAGAGAGGAAGAACGTTAGCTTGACTGGACCATCTCGCGGACTCCCAGAGACAGAATCTTACCCCTGCAAAGAAGAGAACAACAGCAGGCGCAGGAGTATTATTTTATGTTTTTTTTTTTTTTTTTTTTTTCGAAGGAGGACGAGCTGCCTGTATAGAGAGGCATGTCAACATGTCCATCGGTCCAAATCATAGGTTAGAGACGGGATGGAACTCACCAGGCTCTGAACGGTAGATGATCAAACATCGTTTCCCTCGGGCGCCACAAACAAAACCGGACAAAGACCTCATGAATGCCCTCGCTGTCGTTGCGCAGGTGGAAGACGCGGTCACCATGGACAGGCAGCAACTCCCCCTCATCGAGGCTGAGCTCATAGAACCGCACCATGTCTCCGATGGCAACGGCCCCGGACATCTTCTCCGCAGCAGCATTGGCCTTGCGAGCATCCAGGAGCGCCTTGAGCTGCTCACGGCCAGCGCCCCATTGGCAGGCTGGGAGGCGTCGGGGAAGTTCTTAGCCAGCACAGAGAGATGAGTGCGCCACTTTCCGTCCTTAGAGTTGACGGCTAGGACGTTGGAGTGTTCCTCAGGGGTTTCGTAGACGTGCTCTTCGCCAGCTAAGTTGTCATCGAGTTTGAAGTAGTAGTGGATGAGACCCAGCCACACGTGTCCGAAATCGCGCTGGGTTACGCCAGGTTTGACGTTAGCCACGTGAAGGTTTAAAATGGGACTCTGCAGGTAAGAGGCCATGATGGGAAGGATTTGGTAGAAGTTTAGAGTAGATTGAGAGTGTGGTAGATTCAGGTATAGTAAGTAAATAATTCGAAGCACGGACGGGGGAGAAAGAAGGAGGGGGAAGAGTCCTGAATTGTGGTAAATGCAGCCCGTGGACGAAAATACGTCTATTGATAGCGGTGGATGTATAGTCATTCACCTGTGAGATAGTTACCATTGTGGTGTGCTTTACGGTTGGAGTATGGAGTATGGGATTGATGGTTGTCTACGGTATTGTAAACATACTACAACATTTATCCATTTATCGAGTAAGGAATTGTAGGTATTCAAGGTTTATATGAGCGAGTACAGAGACAACATCGTGCAGATGAGAATAACTAGAATAGACAATGCGGCACTTCCATTTTGAAGTCCTCAGCCGATACCCAGGTGCTTGGCCACCGACGTCCTTCAACTTCAACGAGTTCGGCAGGTTGCTCTTGCGTAAGCTCAACGAGTTCGAGCGGAGGGGGAATGCCGTTGTACAGACCTGCCAGTATCTTCACTGCTTCAAACCACAATTCAGAACCGGGACAACTTACCAGACAACGACCAGGCGGCATTTTTCGCATCGTCAGCAATCCCGGACAAAACGTCGTGGATCGCCTGACTATCATTCCAAATGTCCAGAATACGGTCATCGCCAAGGGGCACCAGGTCCCCCATCGAATCACCGTGAGCATCCATTCGATAGAAGCGGACACAGTCACTCACATTGCTGAATAGAACATACTCTGTTATGTGGAGAGGAAGCAGAAGAAGAACGAACCGAAAGATAGAAGAGAGGACTGCTGTGCCGTAAGAGGCCAAGAAAGAGGCTGATTGTTTACTCGGAGTTGAATTACCTTTTCCTTAACTCTCTTCAAGAAATGATATATCATGGCAAATGACTCGTAGGCCTTCCGGATATGCGTTGAGCACGTCAAGATAAGGCCCGAGTGCGTGCTCATTTATCACCGATTGCAATATTTCAACTCCAAGTCCACTCGTATCAACAATTGGCCGGATGGTGTAGTTGGTTATCACGTATCGTTAACAGTTCCACAGCTGGTTCCGATAAGGTCCTGGGATCGAGCCCCAGTCTGGTCATATGTTTTTGCTTCTGTTTGCTTCATTCGTTCTTAGTACGCCTAGGAGCCGTAGGACGAGTCCGACATGAATTGAGTGAAGACAGTGCAGCACATGGAACTTACCAGCCAGGGAGCACAGCTTCCTAGCCTTATCTCTACCCTTTTCATTTGTGGGCCAGGCTATGGCCAAAAGGAGCATCGACGCTACTGTATTTGTATGTAGATAGGCAGAGGATGGCTGTGTGTGTGGGCTCGCTAGAGCGGGCCAATCAGAGCGGGGCACATCGGAGCCTGGGGCTCTTCAACATCAGTCTAAAAATTTTTTTTGTACATGTTACTGGCATTTTTGTTGTTCTTTACAGAAGGCAGTGGTAGATGTACAGCCTGGACCTGTCATTGCACATGCATGTATTGTCTAGACCCCCGCCCCCTTAGGTTAGGTAGGGGCCAATTAAGCCCCGGTATAGCAACTAGTAGATTCGGCATGCTAAAAGGGTATGAATACTACTCCTATTACTGCAGCAGCAGCTGCTGCTGCTGCTATGAAAGAAGTTCCGCTAGCTCTCACACTCTACAAACAGCAATGTAAAACGATCGACTTGCGGATCTTGCGAACGTCACCTCGAAATAGAGCTACGATGGAGCAACGACTGCTTCGCTGAGTGAAATTGCAGCTGTGCCTACCGACATAGATATAGTAATACAGTGAATAAAACAGGACCCTGTTTTCCACATGACCAACTGTCACTCTCTACCCTTCTTGTACTCCAGCACTGTCCTTGATCTCCCGAAGGCTTTCCTCCTCCACACACATATACAGGCATATCTTATCGACCTGGCTGCACTTCCTCGAGTAGGCTTCAGATTATAGATGAGGCATAGGCCTCATACCGATACACCTCTTTGGAATTAATACATCCGGCTGTTGGAGCCACGATTCGGTATACGAGTCTCATATGATTCTGTCAGTTATCGAAGCCGGTTATTTCACGGCACATTTCCGTGTTAATATTTGAATGGCTATCGCCAGTAAGTTGCCACTTCGGAGAAGCGCTACCAGCATTTGAACTAATGAACGACTGAGCTGATATAAGAAAGATAGCATTGCGAACTTTGCAAGTGATGACATACAACTAAGCCAATTCACGGTCTTTGCGCCGGACGCGCTGAGAAGAAGGCAAGGGTAAATAAATGACGGCAAACCAAAAGTCTGGGTCTGAAGCATGCTACCTCTGGGGCCAGCAGCAAGGGCAAAGCCATTGAAGTGTTGCCAGCAAAGTGTTGCATCCGAAGGTGCCTATGGTAAACACTCCAAGTGAGCTATGGCTAAGGCCTTTCCTCTAATGAAAGAGATGTCTGGATGTGTCTTGGATTGCCTGCTGACTGTGGAGATCCACCCCGAAGCTATAATCACATAACAGTCGAGACGTTACGCAGAAAGAGCAAGCATTCATTGCTGAAAAGAGATTATGTCGACACCGACTACCTTAATACTTACTCTCCTGTGAACCGACTGTGCCGTCCCTCAATCTTGTGGCATGGGAAGAGAATAGGCGAGCCACAAAAAGCAGCAATTCAGACGATGATTGACGTGCATGCAGCGCAAAGAAAGACAAGAGAAGAGAGATAAGGTAGTATGGATATATCCCCTACGCTTTTTGGAAAAAATGCGGATAAATTGTTACCTACTTTCTATGTAATGGCCTTGTTCTCCCTTCCTTGAGAAAGATACTTGTTGAGATAGGTGGATACTTGAAATATTCTTTATCACCGCACTAAGCAGAGAATAGGTAGTTGAAGAACCAACCTTCGGCCCTGATGTCAATTTATTCCAACTATTTACCCGTAGCTGATCCATTTTCAGCTGCATACACTCAAAATGAATCTTTACGCCAATTTCGACTCCGATTCCCCCAAGGTGCTCAAGAACACCTGTTGATCACCCGAATCTCCGATAAACGCTTATCTCAACCCTGTCTCTGCCCATATTTCAACTTTCTCAATAGTTCCAATAACTCATATACAAATTGCGATTTGTATAACCCCTCCTCAAAACCTTGCTTATACGAGATGGACAGCTCGTGCCATTATTTCGGTCTTACGCGGCGTTTCTCTCCGTCCGTTTTTTCCATACTTACTGTGACCGGACGTCAGGATGTGTATTTTTTGGATCGACAGGTTCCCCGCAAAGTCGGGGAATGTCCGGAGTAGTTCCGTGTGCGTTTTCGGCGTCCCGATTGGGCAATGGGGCAAGTGATATGTACCTGTTCGTAACTAGAGACTGAGCGTTTGCTTGTTTCCCCTAAGCCAGGAACACCTTGTTAAGTATGCACTACCATCGCTACCAATCTACAAGTATAGTTGATAGCTCTTCTCTCTCTCTCTCTCTCTCTCTCTCTCTCGGACGTCAGGCAAGGCAGTAAAATAACAATGCGGGGTTCAAATTGCGGGGATCAACCGATCTCCCGATCCATGTCCGTATTGGGAAAAAGGCTAACGTCAACGCCTCACTTACCCATCTAGAATGCGCGATATCTCCTCAATTGCAGCAATACGTGAGATTTAGTATATAAGTATGACTGGGTCTCCGTTGGTCCGGACGGTACGTCACGCTTGGTTCGGGGTTTGATTCTGGGTGTCATAGATCGGGATCGGGGTTCGAAGGGTTGGGTTCGGGATGGGTATAAAAGGGTCGATTGTTCGGGGCATTGTCTCAGATTCATAGCTATCAACCAGCTTCTCATTCACACTTCCTTTTTATTCTCTGCGAAAACCGCTTTCATCATGTCTATCCCAGAAACCCAATGGGCCCAAGTGATCGAAAAAACCGGCACCCACCCCGTCTACAAACAAATCCCCGTCCCCAAGCCCGGTCCCGATGAAGTCCTCGTCAAAATCCACTACACAGGCGTCTGCCATACAGACCTGCACGCCATGAAAGGCGACTGGCCCCTCTCATCTAAAATGCCGCTTGTCGGCGGCCACGAAGGTGCAGGTGTTGTCGTGGCCAAGGGTGAGCTCGTCAATGTCATTGATATTGGTGACCATGCTGGTGTCAAGTGGCTGAACGGATCATGTCTCTCTTGTGAATTCTGCAAGTCGGCGGATGAGTCGGTTTGTCCTGATGCGTCGCTGTCGGGGTTTACTGTTGACGGGACATTTCAGCAGTACTGTGTTGCGAATGCGGCGCATGTTACTAAACTCCCCAAGCATGTGCCGTTGGATGCTGCAGCACCGGTTCTGTGTGCTGGTGTTACTGTTTACAAGGGGCTGAAGGAGTCCGGAGCTAGACCCGGCCAAACTGTGGCGATTGTTGGCGCGGGCGGCGGTCTGGGTTCCTTGGCGCAGCAGTATGCGAAGGCTATGGGGCTGCGTATTGTGGCTATCGATGGTGGGGATGAGAAAAGGGTTATGTGCGAGCAGCTTGGTGCGGAGGCGTTCGTGGACTTTACAAAGTCCAGTGATCTGATCGAGGATGTCAAGGCTGTTTCTCCTGATGGACTTGGTGTGCATGCTGTTCTTTTGCTCGCGGCTGCTGCGAAGCCGTTCGAGCAGGCGACGGGGTATGTCCGTTCGCGGGGGACGATCGTTGCCATTGGGTTACCAGCGGATGCGTATCTCAAGGCACCTGTGTTTAATACGGTTGTGCGGATGATCAATATTAAGGGAAGTTATGTCGGGAACAGGCAGGATGGAGTGGAGGCGATTGACTTCTTTGCACGGGGGTTGATCAAGGCACCGTTCAAGACTGTTCCGCTCAAGGAATTACCGCAGGTCTTTGAGCTAATGGGTAAGTTTCTCCTCTCCACATTTTACATTCCCTGTGCTAACTTGATACAGAGCAAGGAAAGATCGCCGGGAGATACGTCTTGGAAATTCCCCAGTAGAGCAATTCCGTTTGCCCGGATGTATCTGATATGCTTAATGCGGAGGGATTATTTGTATTTCCATAAAATAGGATACCATACTAGCCAATTAAATCGTTGCCATATCTGGTACTTTTGCATCCGCCCCTGTAATTTCTGGGATCAAGATTGAACCCCTCCGACTACCACAAGACATGAACCGGCGTAAAATATACATTGAACCGCAGAAGACATGACGGCACGAATACTTGTACATAGCAGTAATGTATGCTCACACCTTATTCGTGACAAGCCGTCTGCTTTTCAGACATCGCCATTTCCTCCTTTCTCCCATTTCTTGAAACCCGTAATAGTACTATACACTTTAGTTTGTCATCCGTATACCAAAGCTTTTCAGGAACAATGGACAGCAAAACTAGGGTGTGAAGTGTTTCGGGGACTTGAGTTCAGACGCAGGTTGAAGGGTAGAAGAGCGAGTTCCGGTACCGCGCCACAAGCCCGGATCAACTCTAGTCTTAGTTGTGCTAGCTCGACGGTCCTGGCTCTTAACAACCTTCCCCTCAGTATTCTCCCCCTTGAGGTTTTTTATGACATCCGAGTAAAAACCGACCATCTGCTGCACCATGAACTTGTCAAACTCCGGCACCTGTCCAAAACCTTTGACGAAGTCCTCCTGCTTGAAGAATCCTCCATCCGCTTGAACGACACTGCTCAGCTTCTCCCTCAAGTGATTGATATATCCCACAAATGAGTCGGTGCGTCCCGGGTACTTGGCGAAGATCTCCTTGGCGATCCCTAGGATCATATGAATATCAACGGCGTCGTCGAACGTCCTCACATACTGCATTGCCTGGATCGCCAGGCCACTCATTCCATAGAAGACTGAAACACAATACACCTCAGCACTTCTTCTGTATTCCTTCTGCCTCTTTGCTGTGCCCTGCGTGGTTGGATCGTGAAGCGTTTCGTATAAACCGGTATACAGCCAGTTGACGATAGTGTGGCCTATGTCTTCTTCGGCCTTGTCGAGCCAGAGTGATGGAATTACATGCGGCTGGTTTAAGGAGGCGGCAAGGACTGGAGCTTGTTCGACGAAGTGTTGCGGGACTGCATAGCGGTACTTTTTCTCGCGACAGTAGAGGGTGATTATTTTCGTCAAATAGGGTCTATCGTGGTTAGCACTCTCTATATGCGTTTTTTGCTCTCAAATTGGCGTCCATGCTTTTGCAGCTCGAGAGAATGGAAAGTTGGGTTAAGAACGACTCACGAGAATTTTGGCTGGTCATATTCCGCGAGGAGGTAATCGGTAATGATTAAATTGCCGCTGCATTTTGACTTAGCTTTCTCTTCGTTGCTTTCCATGGTGATAGCTTGACATTCTATTCTTGAAGAGATGAAGGGTGATTGGAGAGTTGCAGGGAGAGGGAAAGCGAAAGACTTCCTGGCAATGTCACATGACAAGTAAACAACAGTCTATATTCATTCACTGCTGCCCAGATGTCCCTTATATATGGAAGAGAAAGAAACATCGTTCAGCTTGTGTACTAAAGACTCCATTTAGACAAGACAAAGAGCAGCGCTTACATCTTGTCAATGGATTCTTTCAATCCATTGTCCACTTCTTGAACCTGGTGGTCTTCTGGGATTGGATCTTTTTTTCTTCTCGCTTCTTGTGTATTCTTCTTTCATTCAACGTTGAGGTATCCGTGCTCGCTGTCGAGCGAGTCTAGATGGTTCAGCATTCTCCGAAAACCACATTTCTCTCGGTGTCGTTCTGTCCGTACTGCCGGCGCCATATATATATATTTTTTTTTCATTCCGATGATAAACCAGATAGCAACAACGGAAATGACGAAAGCCAAAGACCCAAAAACGGCGAGGAAAATCAAGACCTGGTCCAAAGTCTGCTCCCTATGAGACGTAAGAAGGATGCTAGTTGAGGGGCTGGATGGGACTGCGACTGAGGCTGTGAGTCCCGGTACTCCGCTTGGTGAACTGATACCGATATTACTGCTCATTTTGAAATATTCGGAGAATGATAATTCACTGTAGAATGAAATATGGTAATGTATTCAAGGTAAAGAGAAGGAATTCTATGATACAAAAAAAAAAAAAAGTTGATTTTAACCGGGAAGGGGTCGTGACTGCCTCCTTCGACAAATCGCTGACGGTGGCGTCTAGGATAAGGGGATTTTTGGCTTCTGCCGATGAGCTCTTCAACACCTGGCTTCTTCCCTGGTCTTTGAGATCTCAATTAACTGCAGTGCCTTCTAGCGGGGGGCTTGTCAAGCTGAATCGCAGCATCAGCAACGTCCATCGGTATATCTAGACCACGGCTCATAGAAGTTGAACCTGGCCCCCGGGTTCAAGGCTCAAACTGTGCGAGGTGAAGGTATTTTTCTCAATTCCTTTGCTGGCCAGCACATTTCTCTCGTCCACAATTCATTCCCGACGCAGATAGTCCACCGAAGCGTTTTCGGATTCCGAAGCCGGACTGATGTCCTGGTATGCGAATATGTAAGCGGTAAAGAACATCCGAGATTGCAGCGAAACTGACGTTGGCTGTCTTTGTCTCTCTAGAGGCATTTGGGAACTCAGAGGGAGTTGTGGATAATTCGGCTGTCATACGAGGAGCATGATTGGATTCGAATACGGGCTTTTCGAGCCTCAAGATTGACGGCCTCTACCATACATCCCCAGTAATAGAGATATCATCTACAACTGATTAGTGTCACACCAATATCTCCGATTGAGGACCGGTATGCGGTCTCATAGACCAGGCGCCCTCATACGGTAAAACGACTCCACTCTAAGCGGATCCCAGCCAGCACATACATGATCCTTCTGACTGAGACATACCTACATCATACAGTGACCTGTACATATGGCAGTGAGTTATAAACCTACGATTGGTCCTTGCTGACACTGGATCGGACGTTGATGGTAGGCACCGAAATACGGGGCCATGGTGGATTCGTTTGAGATTGCCCTGGCTAACGGGTAATCCCTCTAGTGTGGAATTCGATCGTATCAAATGATTACTGTATACTGTAGCGACATAATGATAATATGTAAAAGGCAAGGATGTTATCGAATAATTGCCAATAACACGGATAGCAGCATTATCCGAAAATGGATACGAGCCTGGCAGCCTCAATGTTCCTCATACTCAGCGCAGACGAGACATATCACTTCATACAGCAAACAAAGGAATATGCGGTCATCAAGTACACCGTCCAGACACTCCCACGGAGGAACATTGAGATCCCAACCATCCGTCAATATCCCCGAATGCAAGTACCCGATTGGCACCATATCGAGACGAGGCGTGGAACGCCTCGGAAAGCCATAGATATGCCGGGCGTAGGAGGCATGAGACATGCAGATGGATACGACAAGAATAGTAGCATCGGGTAACACGACAAAAGAATCGTTGCGTCGTGTTACGGCGAGTCGACATACTTAAACCCGTCGAATTCCTGCCAATTCGAGTCTCATCATCAACAACAGCTCTTCTCAGTTGACTTTCATCTCCTCGAGCCTCTAAGAATCTCATCGATCAATTTTTAACCTTCTAAATCAATCAAAATGCGTCTCTCCATCACCCTCCCCCTCGCCACCCTCTTCCTCAGCCTTGCCTCCGCTTGCACGCCTGGCGAGTACTCCTGCGGTGCCGGCGGTAAGTTATGTCATCGATACTTGTCCTTCCCTGTAAAAGATTACGAGAGACTGATTCTGAACAGAAAACAAGGACACCGTCATGCAGTGTGGCGTGGACAACATCCCGGTCCCCATCAACACCTGCGGTGGTGGATTGACTTGCAAGGCTGTTGACGGGCGGGTGCTTTGCGCTGCTTGAAAGGAATGATATGTAGAATGGTTATATTCTGGGGTGTTGGGAGTGGACACTCTAGATGTTATGGGGATATTTGGATGTGTATGCCATTGTTATGAGATATATTAAAATGGAAAATGGCCTTCAAGGTTCAGTTTTATGTGCTCGTAAAGTAAATGCTTTGGTGGAAACATATTTGTACAATTGACATGTATCAGTCATCGTGCTAGCTATGTTATAGATGTAGTGGGAATACTACAACACAAATGGTTTCCAGTAAATGCCCAAATTACTAGACTTGTCTATCTTTCCATAGTCCTTATAATTAAGAAACTTGAACCGTAACCAAAATTTGTATCGTACGTAGCATCGGTGACTTTTTACTTGCTGGAATGCATGATCATGTCTACTCAACAGCAATCCACACAAAATAACCAACATCACCCCCAGAAAACCAGGAATTTTAACCTCTTCGAACCAAAACCCATTCTCGCCAAGTACAACGACGTCCAAATACACTTCTACAACCCTAAACCCGGATCCCATCTCCGCAAAACACCATACAACGTGCATATCGCGTCATATCCCCGGCGACTTATTCTCACCCACAACCGTCCCTTCCAGAACATTACCAACGCTCTAGAATGCCTAGAATGATGATTGTGGCGGTGGTCATGTGGCTGTTTCTTGTTCAAATAGACGTCATATTTGCCCCTGGAGTGGTATATATACCCCATACAGACAGCGCTGAATGTCGTTCTCCAGATCAACAGGACTATCTACAACACTATATTAATAAAAGTTTGAAAATAATTAATGAAAATAATGAAGGACATCGGAAACGTCGCTCGGGGCTATAAAGCGTGAGTTTCCCTTCCTCCCCTTAAAAAAAAAAAAAAAAAAAAAAAACAACAACCATTAACCGAGCCACAACAGCGCCATCAACAACCGCAACGTCTCCTCCGAAGGCCGCCTCCACGCCGAAGAAGAGCTCAAGCGAATCCAATCCAACGAAGCCCCAGGCGACGAAGCCGGTCTAAGCGATGACGAAGCAAGACATGATCGAAATGTTGCGCGGGGATTAAAGGCGTATGTACCCACTGCCTTTTTGTTTCTTTGAAATGAAACTGGTGTTCTGGTTTTTTGGGGGCGAAGGCTTATGAATTGCAGGGCGACGCATAATCCGAATGTTACGGATGTGGGGAAGCAGCAGGCTAGGGGTCGGTTGGAGAGTATGGGGGAGCATCCGGAGACGCCGGCTGATTAGTGGTTTTAATCTGATGGGAGGTTCATTTTGTATAGTGGGCTGAGATTGTATAGTTTATAGGTATCTTAGATTGTACAGAATGGAATGTATATATTGTGGTCAGGTCAAGTCTTTTCCCAGTAGGACGATACCCCTCACCAAACACCCGGAACAAGCCTCCACGGCACCGACCTACAATACTCCTCCCAAGCCATCCCATACTTAGCTCTACACCGTCCCTCATCCCTCATACACCGATGAACAAGCAACCCCCCCATCCAGATCACATACAACCACACCAACAGCTTATCCGTCCCAACCACCGCACACATACTAAACGACAGAAGCAAGTCGCCCACATAGTTGACGTGCCTTGCGCAGGACCACCAGCCACTGCACAAGAGGATACTCTTATGTTCTACACCGTCTGAGGTTTTGTAGGTTGCTGTGATGTACTGGGCTGGTTTTCCCCAGATCAAGCATTTTCCGTTTGAACGACGGACGCGGTCTTTTTGGTTGTTTACGGAGCGGAAGAGAGCGTAGCCGGCGATGCCGATGCTGAATATTGCGGCTAGGTAGATGGTTGAGGGTGATGTCGGATAGTGAGTTAGATACTGCGCTTGAAGCGTGTAGTTTGCCGGGAGGAAACAAAAACACCCCCAGATCAAATAAAAGCCGTAGTGGTCATGGGTGATATCGATGGTGCGGAGGTACCAGGATTCGTTGATGAAGAAGTCAATCGCGTAGATGGATTGGAGGATTGTGACGAGTATTAGGGATGGGGATACGGTGTGGTGGGCTTGGTGTTGGTATGCGATGCTTGAGATATCTCTATTCAAGAATTAACAATGTGTTCGCTGCGTTATATCTGGAAGGACCGTTACACACATCAACGTCCAGGAAATCATCCCCATCCTTCCATTAGTGAAGAACTTAAAGTCGAAAGTCTTTCCAAATCTCGGGTTGAGCTCGATGCCGGCGTAAAGGTCTTGAAGCGCGGAGCCTATAATAGGAACACAGTTCCTGATTAGCGATAATCAATGAGCCCACCCAGAAAAGCATACCACTAAACCTCCGATCCTCGGGATGACTAGGTCTCAAATACGCCTTTCCATACGCAAAAATCGCAACCAAATATCCGAACAAGTTCATCGCTATAAATATCCCACTCCAGTTCCTGATCACAAACCCAGGGTCCAAAAGACCGTACCAGCAGAGCAGCGCGTAGATAGAATGAGTAATCACCCATGCATACAGCCCATTCGTCCGGTATGTGAGAAGATATCCGGCTGGCGTACGTTGGCCGGTGTTTGTCGGACCTGGCAGGAGGTAGAATAGCACAGCCTGCAGGGCAATATAACACGTATAAGCAAATGTGGGCTTAAGACTGAGCCGTGGACCATGTGCTTTCATGATTGTCAGGAAGCCTTGTTCAAAACCGGTCGTTACGAATCTGGACAGAGATCCTTCGAACTGCGAAATCGTGATGAGAAAGCTTGCTGTGATAAGTGGAGCCACAAACAGAGGAACTGCAGCAAGGACAGAAAGTAGCCACGGCGACCGGACGCTAGAGTGGCCTTTTTCGGGCAAACCGGCCTTAGGTTGTTGATGGTGTTTCTTTCTCATAGTAGCTGTGGCTGAAGGAAACGGGGGCTGTGCGTCCGAGATCGGGTCTGAATGCTTCATTTTGGCATAGGGATTCATTCGTTGAGTTTTAACGGATGAGTGGAAAGTAGCAGTACTTCCTCTTGAAAAGGGATATGGATATAAATAAAAAGGGTGGAAGTCGAATACGGACTTTTGAGCTACATATTTCCAACACAGGTCTGCGAACACGAGAAATCAAATCAGCACCGGATCTCCGGAATGTACATAAGATCCCATTATCTGCAAGTATCTGACATCTGACCAGTCACGAAAGTTCCGGCATTGCTCCGGGGTACCAAGGATGGTGGTGATTATCAGCAGCGACGGTATCACTGATTGGGTGCTTGTATCAAGCTAGTGCTGTGTTTATGCCCGTTGAAAGCCTATCGTACATTTGAGCAGTTTTATGGCGTCGCGCTACATCGGACATGTTACGGGTGAACTGGCAGTGGGGCAATCTTGTGCAAAACAGTCCAGATCTCAATTATCATGCACAAGTGACCCCATAAGGCTGACATGAGCGTAGTACACTTTGTACATGCTTATGGCTCAATTTTAAATGAAATGGCGTCATTATATTCATGTTTAAAATATTATGTCCATAAGAAAAGAAAATATCTAAATCACCACCCTCTTTTGATCTTCCACTGCATAACGAAATTCGCAAACGGATAGAAAGCAAGCGACGCTCCTATCCATGCAAAAAGAATACCAAAGTCCAATCCAATCCGGGAATGTGTTCCAAAAAGGATCGTCCGTAATGCCTCGACAACTGTTCACGTTAGCTAGTTTCTAAAACACATGGGTGGGAAACGAAGCTTACTCCGATGTAAAGGCCATGCATAACCCCAAGCAAAGAATTGCGGTGCCAAGTCCAACGAGTAAAACGCCGTCGAGACGTTGGTGATAACCCAGAAGATCAAGAAGAGTGAGCTCCACGGCATACCAAGCACCATGGCCATGTTCTCACACGGGAATCCTAGTGCCGCCATTCCGACCCAGTTTAGCATCCAAAAGACAACGAATGACCCGTGTCCGTATGCGTTGGGGTTCTCAGCGGAAATGGTATCCGGCGCAGGCGAATTGGTGAACGGGATCTGGAACGCCAGCGACACGAACGAGTAGAAGAGCGACAGGAGGAAGTACGACCCGATATGCGTCAGAATGCGCCAAATCAACCACTGCCACATATGTAATGGTGGATGGTTGCCCCTGACGAGCTGCATGTGAATTGGCATCAAGAACGGGAAGTTGAAGAATGCAACGATGATTAGATAGATCAGACCAATGGTGACGGCTGGTGTTGCGACGGCTGGCGCAAATGGTCTGAGATCGTACATGTTGAACCCGATGCCTGGATTCGCGGCTTGCGGTACATTGGTGATGTTGGCCCCTTCCTGCGCCAACGCCTGTATCCAACGAGGTCCAAATTCCATCTGAGCTTGAATCTGGAAGCTAGTCAATGCCGGTTTGATGTAATTGGTACAGGTAGATTCGTCCCGAGCGGAGATGATGATAAATTGCACTGTCCCCGTTGGATCATATGACGAATTCCCGTTCCTGATGGCGTCGCGCAGCATCGTCGTTGCATTAGGATTGATGACAATAGCAGCCCACGCATGCTCGTCATAGACCTGCTGTCGCACATTCCAAACATTATAGTCAAACTCCGCCGGCGACACGATAGTATACCCAACGCGATCCGTCGTAGACTCAATAATCTGCCCAGCAACATCCGTCACAGCAGGCCCGACAATAGTATCATTCGTGAGATACGGATCAACCTGGCCGTCGAAATCCACCACCCAAACTGTCAACGAGGGCAGATTATTCTCGACTCGGAACTGCACGGCCCAGTATAGCGAAAGAATGCACAGGACGAAGACGCATAGGATCAGCACTGTTTTATGCAGGGAGAACCTTATTAGCCACGAGTCATATGTATGTATGCAATTGATCGATTTTCTGACCGACTTACCCATGCGCCCCAGCTGAAAAAAAACCCGACTTCTTACTCCCCTCAGTGCCGGGTCAAAGAATCCCACAGCCGTTGCGGGAGTCGAAGGGGGTTCCTTCACAGAGCCCTCTTCTGGCGACGTACTTTTGCCAGCCATGACTATAAACAAGACTTGGCAATGGCGCGAGAAAAAAAAAAGAAACAAGAAGGGAAAGAAACGAGCAGTTAAAAAGAAGGAAAATGGAAGATAACTCTGGCCGGTCACGTCACGCCAACCATGGGAGCGTCGCGACCAAATCCGGCGTCTTTATAAGGGCATAGGCCGCACCCGGTGAGCGTGCGCTGGAGTTTATCGGCATTGCGCAAGCCGTAAAACCGAAGTCAATGGGTCCAAAAATTTGTCAACTCGCTGCTGTATGGCATGGCATTGGACTGATCGTTGTCTAGTTCTGCGCTTGTTCTTGCTTTCTCCTTGCCGAGTGGCGCCGGTTCGGCTTCCTATTTAGGAATGTCTCGGTGTTTACAGAGTCCGAGCTCGGAGAATGCTCGTAAAATTCTTAATCCGGGATGACATCAGTGTTTGACTTTATCTGATAAGATCGGTTGGTCTCGATGCACCAGTAATACACATTATTGTCGACCCTAATACAACCTTTCTTCAATCTCGTATGAGTATGCTAGCATTACTGTCATGTCTGCTTGTCTCAGCTCAGTCAGTAGATAGCAGCAAGGTATATGCGCCATCATCCTTTGCTCACCGCTGCCGCATTGACTTCATCATTATCCGTGGAAGAGGAGAAAGCTTGGACAGGTTGAATTCAAGGCAACTGTTACACTAATGGGCGCGCTTGAATACTAGGAGTGTGGTGCTCGGGGCATCGGCGACTTTTAATACCCCGCTGGTCTACACTAGAAGTGTATAAGTGAACTACATATCTGCTGGTCAGCGACAATTTCCTCTTATGGACACCCGCCGCTTTTAGAGGGGCTTACGTGATTGCTCCCGGAGCGCTCCCTGAGCGATCCGGACACGAAAAATGGCACACTGGGCCACGCACCAGGGGTCGCCGATTGCTCCCTGAGTGCTCCTGGGGGCATCCAAGCATGATGGAGCAAGACCACAGAACACGTGACACATAGTCTCCCTTTGTCAGCTTAGCCATCTAACGTAATCTATCACCCCGCCACCCCCCATCAACCACCAGTACAGATAGGACCAGAGACACCACAGCAGGCTCAACACTTTCCTAGCCTAGCCCCTGAGAACCAATACACGGGCCCACTGCCGGCGCAGGACACCCCCCCGGCATCCCCCACCCATGACCCCCCCCAGAGCCAACTGAGCCTCGAACTCCACAACCATATCACTGCTGCAGTGACGTCGCGCACAGCACAGATCAAGTCCACAGGGGATGAAGTCCTTGAACTTGTCACAGGGATCAGCCAGAAGATTGCCATTTGGGAAGAGAAGAGTTTGGAAGGAGCAGCCTCCCTAGGCAGAGACATCAGGACGCTGGTTCTCAACTTCAGCAAGAGCCTGGCAGATGGACACCCTGCTGAAGAAAGAGAACAACAACCCCACCCTCCCAAGAATAGTACCTATGCAGAGACAACAAGAGCTTCCCCCAGCAGTCCCAAAGCAAACCTGAAGCCAATCAAGAAACTGCAGCCACAGCCTGAGAAAACCCCCCGCATCTTCCTCCATCTACCAAAAGACCACGCAGCCCGTCAGGCCAGCCCATATGCCACAATGGATATACTGAGGAAACACCTGGACGAGACCTGTTCTGCAGCTGTTAAAGAGATCCAACAAGTGCCCTCAGGCTTGGCAATCTGGCCTAAGGATGGACTGGGCCTCCAGCTCCTCACAGAACACAAGGAGCTCCTGGAATGCCTCATACAGGGTGTGACGGTCTCGAGCAATATGAGTATATTGGTAGATTATCTGACGAAATTCTAACATGAGGAGAGAAAGGAAAAGAGACAGGCCTGCCGGCGATGAGCTATCTAATGTGTGCGAGGGGTTTAAGCGAGGCTCAGTGAATGTCCTACGCCAAACGGGTCAAAGTAATCGGACATGCTATATAGCTAACGAGTGTCCATGCTCCATGACAGGTAACACAGTTTGGATCGCTGTAGATCGTTTTCAAATGGTCCAGCATGTCCTTTGAATCAGCATAGGGGTCCAAGGCATTTTCATGCATGCATGGTGTGATGTGCTTTCAGGCCTTGCCCTCACAGCAACTAGCCACATATGCCATGCAGAGCTGAGAAGTGCCAAAGTGGTCAGCATTGGCAGTGAGTTTCTGGGTCATCAGGAGCAGCCAGTCTTTCAATCAGGGTTCCTTTCCATCGGTCAACATTGGAGGATCAGGAATCTTGGTGGACTTTCGAGCATTGGTGGTCGCTGGCATAGGTTCCTGGTTGCCGCTGTTGGTCAACTGCATGGTCATCTTCACAATCTGGTGGCCATATGCGTCATGCTCAAACTTCACCCCAGCAAGCTCAGAATTTGTCTTGGAAAGCTGCTGATTGACATCCTCAACCTGCTGATGCAGTTGGGCGATCCCTCCATCCTTGGTTTTGCCATGGAGTTTCTCTTCAGCAATGTGACAGCTCAACGGCTCAACGCCAGACAAACAGCGCCAACATATCAAACGATGCCATACAAGCAATATGGGCAAACAAGGGCTTAAGCCGCACCACACAAATGTCTATAAAGACCGTTCATCGCCTAGATAGATTCCCTTTCCTTCTTCTTCCCCAGATTCGATATTCTCGTCGATGGCTACAATAGTCTAGATAGGGATTCAATTCATTAGTATCTACTATTCGAGCCCGTGACAAGAAATATGTACTCCATGCTCATCAAAGCACTCTTCATATCATTGGTGGATCAAACAGAGCTTCTCATACAGCCACTTAGGCTTCCCAGAGACAAACTGCAGGAACTCCTCCAAAGTTACCATTTGTTGTCCTTCATTCTCATCCCCATCAATGAAGATGGAGGATTGTCGGTTCTCTCAGTCAGTATCATTATTCACTTCGTCTCGGTTGGCCCTAGTAGGGCCAACGGTATTGTTCAGTCATGCCATACTAGCCAGGATTTTCGTGTTCGTCGGTTATCAGTATCAGTCTGATTCGTTCAGTCAGTGTGGGGGACACGCTACTATGGTTCCACGATCAGGGGATCGAACCAATAGAGTAGGCGTGTGGAAATGAAATGAGTGAGATTTGATGTTATGCCACAGTTATCTAGTAGCCCAGTATCTCATCTACAACATCTTGAGAAGGCTGCGCAGATGGCTACGAATATGAATCTTCTCCACCAAGAAATCAAGTCTCTACGTACACAGAATGAGCGGAAGATAAAGAAAAGAGCTAGAAGGAATGCCAATCTAGGTACAGATACTAACTTATCTGTACAGGAGGGAAAGGAAAAATTTCCAACAGCTTGATACACAGGTTGAGGAGCAGGTTGAGGAGTGTATATCTAGGCCTTGCAAGCGAGCTCCACAACGCTACAGTGGCTGTGGCACTATTGGACATATATACAATACGGGTTTTCCCTAATAAATAGCTGTATATTCTACTACTAGATAGTCTAATTTAATGCTGTTGGTGGTTGAAAAGCTTCAAAAATGTGGTGGTTGCGGCGAAAATCCGCGGTTCGGCCGTGGAATACATTATCCAACACTAGGATACTAAACCGCCAGGCTTAGTACTGCGCTCACTTATATGGCTAGGTGGTTCATGCAGTTACAGGGATGGAACATTCACAGGGTTATAGGGATCAACCAGAGTGAGTGCTTTCAACAGTCTCAACTTGCGGAATTTGACAGAGAAGACCACATCATCCAAAGTGCAAGCTGTGTCAAGCCACTTCTTCAGTGTTCACTTGCTTGACAAGGTCCCTATTGTGGATTTAGTCTGTACCACGGCGCTGCTGATGCAGCGGGAGTTTGGTGGCTAGCATGGCGAGTGTCAGGGTGATGTGGGAGGTGAGAGGTTGTGAGGAGGGTGTATTTTTTTCTGTTTCTGTTTCCCCTGCTTCATTTGATTCTGTCCATCTGTGTGTCTCTGCGTGTATTTCTGTCTGCTGGCACCTGCATATACTGATGGATGGTGTTGGCAAGGAGACGACAACAAGGATCTTCTTGGGGGGAGGCAGCGATGTGGATGAGGGTTGTCATTCTTATTACAAAAAGTGCTCTTAGCGGCCTGGCTTGCAGCTGAGAATAAGGGTGAGGATGCAGAAGTGAAGCAAGAGTCCTTGAAGCAAACCATTCATGGTTACATAATTCCTCCACTGCCCCGTCCAGTCATTCTGCGCCCTAGATAGATGAGATCGAGGTAGAGTTAGGGTTGACCTTGCTTTGCCTGACAGAAACGGCTCTTTTTGTAGTCACTTGAGAGGCTCCCAGCGGAATTTGGTCCTTATGGCTACATTTTTGCTGCCTTGGGTTGTATCAACAATGCCTATTCGAACGACTACGTACAAAGAGAAGGAACGGATGAGAGAGAGCTGTCTACTCACATTGGCGTTCCTGCCGCTCTTTCCTCTTCCTCCCAGAAGTGTTTTGTTTATCTCATGTGCTAAACCTTTTCACATTCATTGGAAATTTCCTTTTTCATCAATAGCATCATATTGGTATCCCTCAAATTGAGCCTGTAACCTTGAATGCAGACAATCCCGACATTTTCTTCTCTAGTTCCCTTCTTTTAATTTACTAGCTCTAATCCCGTGTTTCTCTCTGTCCTTGTCTGAGTCTCGCTGGCGATAATCCACGGACTTGCTCCAGTCATGGAACAGATGCAACAACAGCTGCTTCAGAACCCTTTCCATCACCTTGATGTTGTTGCAAAGGAGGTGTCAACTGCCCTGACTTCTGCAAAATGTCGCCATGGATTTGTTAATGGATATGCGGCATCTCTTGTTGGAGGAACAAGGCTCACAGATGTACGCCTGCATCTTTTAACCCCGTAACAAGTTCCCTGGTGTTGATTTGAACCAGGATGTCGATGTGATCGTAGATGCTGATCCAGCTGAAGCCCGGAACCTACTACTCAGAGCGAATTCCTGCTTCCAAGTGACCCAAGCGAACAAACTTGTCTTCATTGGTGAAGCTGATGCTACAAGCATCGAGCTCCTGCGTGGCGGCCAGACTCAGCAGTTAAAACTGCCTGAGGCAAGCTCCGCCCCCCTCCATGAGGTGACGCACGGTGAGCTCTCGGGACGCATTGACGATGACAAGCCCAGTTAGTGTCCTTTTGCCTTTGCACTCTCTACTAGAGTCTGCGCTTTCGCTAATCATCCAAATGTAGTTCCGATAATTCACCCGTCCGTCCTTGTCTTGACTAAAACGAAGAGGTGGGCGATCTATGCAGAATCTACCAGGCCGAAAAGTCTGAAAAAGGCCAGGGGTGACGTTGCTGATATCGAAACAATACTGGAATGGCTTGCTAAACATAACCTTTGTATCAACTTCACCGGCTACCCCGAAAAGCCGAAGGAAGAGCTGATTTGCGGGGTCCGGAAACTGTATCAGATGAACGTTGCCATTCGCCCTCTTCTGAAGTCTACCATGGAGCCACAAGATTTCGGTAGAATCAGTAGCTAGATACATCCCAGATAGATGGGCAATCACGGACGAGACGCTCCGCAATACTCAAGTATTCTTCCTCCGTCGTATCCCAATTCCAAGTTCTCATATCCTGGACCGCTTCTTCCACCCTTTGCTGATAATCCTCTTCACTCTCATCGTCGTCATCCTCCCCCTCCTTCGTATTTATGGGGGTATCGCGCAAAATGTAAGAGGATATAAAACCCAGCAGACTATCCTGTACTCGAATTCTGGAGCTGTTACCAATTGGGTAATTGAGGAGATGGCGGATCAATGACACCATGTACATTCGAGGCTTTGGCGTCAGGACCTTTAGCGTGCGGTCAAAGGTCGATGTGACTTCAACCGTGTCCCGAAGCGCAAGGCCGACAAACGACAGTGGATAGAGGTAGATTCGGGATCGACCCACTAGATCTAGATTGTGAATGAAGCCCGCTCGCTCCCATTGTCCAAATCTCGCTGAGATGTTTGTAGATGGAGGCACACAGGGAATCCCTTGGTCTGATAGGGTCTGTGATGCAAGAGATAGGAGGGCATCCGGCACTGCCCACTCAACCAGCTGGGCGAGAATGTCAGTACAGCTAAATCCCTGGATAGAAGGCATCATTTCTTACCAGAAGGACGAGAGGGTACCCACATCGCCACTCTACCTGCGATCCGTACTCCATCAGCGGGATCTTTCTGTCGATGAGAGCCTTGGCTGCGGCTCTTATGATCGGCGCATGGGGCTGTCGTGATGGGATTTCATATTGGGGGGATGGTTCCATCTTTTGTTTGTGCATTCTGTATCAGGACGGTTGGAAAGACGATGGTGAAGCGGAGGTTCTGTCAAGGCTATATCGAGCGATCATCTGGGCCTAATCTAGGAAATGACTCAGCCAACGGATGATGGGCGTGGTAATAAGGTCGTTGGCCGTGCAAATTAACATACACGGCGCCAAGACCGGTGGTGGTTAGCAGGCTGCTTAAAACAGCGTCAGGAGCTGCCATTTTGGGCCGCTGGCTAACCGTCTAATTGTTATATGTGTATAACTGTAACATTATTCTGCGAGCGACTTTGAATTTCCTTTTACGGGCCCCGCCGCTTTTATGTGTTAGTACCCGGCGGGTCACCTGTCGTCGTGTCCGCCCTCACTTTGTCCAAGAGCTATTTATACCTATTAGCCTACCACCTCCGAATACACACATCCATTCTTTTATTATGTTTTAGTGGGCGAGGATAGTTGATTGATTGGGTGCCTATCGGCTCAGGCTAGCTATATCTACCGGGCAGAAAGCGAGGGCGGTCAGGCACGTGACCCGATGGGTACTAACTGATAAGGAATAATGCCGGACCAATTAGGCAAGTTCCGCCGGTCCGATGATATAGGCCAGCGTGAGCGCACGTTTAGATAGACAAGCACTCAATCAGCTGCGTACACGCACATACGTTCGTTAGGCAATATACCTCTTTCGTCCAGCTAGTCCTCTCCATATAGACCTCGTTAGTCCGGAATAATCGACTCCCGATTTCCCTTCTGAGCTACGATCCGAGAGACCCCGCTTCACTAACATTATGATAGGCTCACGTGACTACCCCCGAGTGATCAGGGAACGTCCTTCAGCGCTCCGGGACACGCACCTCGGAATCCCAGCTCACTCCGGGAGCTCTTGGAGTACTAGCCAAGCTACTCCCAGAGCACTCTGGGAGCATCCCAGATCTTAGAGGTAAGAGGGTGAATATTAGAGAAAAGACAATAGAGAGATAAAAAAAAATAGAGTGATGATGATGATGATGATGATGATGATGATGTCATCCATTTTATAGAGCATTTTCCAAGACTATGCAAGCTCTACCCAGTCCCTTGGGAGTGGGATTTGTGTCTGATAGGATCTATATACATAGGGTTTGCTCTGCCAAATGCAAGACATCATCATCATCATTATGGTTTGCAAGAATTCCAAGATAAGATTGATCTCATTAGTCCAAAGATTAGGAAGCGCGTTGGGTTGTTTTGTCGCGGTGATCTTATGCAGGCTGAGCTCGCCGCTCAATATGCCGATGATAACAAGCGCATATTAGCCCACAAAGCTTACATGGCGGAGGGTAAAACTAAGCGACAGATCTCTGTGAAGGGTCCTCTCACCGTGCGAGATGCCATTCGAAGGATTAAGGTCCGCGTTGAAGAAGAATCGTGGAAGAAACTACACGAGAAGTTTTGGGAACATGGCGTTTGCTGTTATCAAACGAGGCTTGAAACCGAGGTCAGAGGGTGTGCGTTTACAGTTGATTTGAAGCTCATTTCCGCGACAAGATCGGATATTTATATACGAGTATCAACAAATCAACCGAATCTTTCTCTGATTTGTCAGGATCGGCTTACTACGTGAGGTTGGTTAATCCCACTACAACCCTTGGATACGATGAGATTTGTGAGAATGGACTGGTGGGAGTGCCGGTGGGAGGTGCCGGGCAATAGTGGCCAATTACCCAATTATGCTGATGCAAGATTCTGGTATGAGACGACAGTTTGAAATTCGACTAGGCTAAAAACCAATTAAGTCTAGAAGTTTTGCTGAGTTGGAGATCCATTCGTTCTCCAGAACGTCATCTGAGCTAAAATTGTTCAAATCTCTAGGGCTAGCAGACAACCATTCTTCTTTGCTTACCGCGTTCCACAAGGGATCGTTCTTCGGTATTGGGAACTTCAGGTCGTTTGTAGTGAGCCTCCTGGCTGCTGGTCTGCTCACCATATTGTAAACTTTGTACAAGGTCAGATTGAACCGTTTGATCTCTTCAATGCTGATCCAGACATATGAAGCAAGTTCTTCCGGGGTATACCGGGCAAGTATGTTTGGATAAGAAAGCATGCCTAGTCGTTTACAACTAACAACGAGACACTCGAGGAGCTCCATGTCAGAAGGCGGGAGAGAAGGCTTCAGGTCAAACCCCAACGAATCTCGGCCCTTATGTATTAAAGCGAATATTATGTGTAGCAGAATTGCCTGGTATGTCGGAATCGGCCAAGCGCAGGAACTACATGCCTCCTCTGCGGTAGAGACGTCCCATGCCCCCTGTGTGTGTCATTGTTAGTGAAGGCGTGGTTTTATCAGCAATGCCTGGTATCAGCTCACTCTCTGTTGATATATTGCCAAACCCAGCGTATTGTGGAGGTCAATTGCTGCGGACTGCGAACTTTGCCCCCCATTTGCCCACATCCCGATGACCATCATCGATTGCACAAGTAAAGGGGTTTCGTAGTACTGATTGAACGACCCGATATGAACAAATGGCCAATAAGGGTGAAATCGTTCAAAGTAGAGTCTGACGAAGAATCGATCTTTTTGCGTCTCGGGTGGTGAGGATGATGTGTCCTGTGATGACAGTGCTGGTTTGTCGGGAGAATCACGACGGCCTATATCTTGTGATTCGTTCAGGGAACATGAAATACTCCGGTACAGACATTCATGGCATGGCGGCCCTCCCTCACAGCGAATCTTCATATTCCGGCAATTCGAACAGGCGTGTCCTGGACGAGGCGCGGTCTCATCAACTGCATGGATTCGCCGCATGTGTCGACGGAGGGTGTCACTGGATACACATTAAAAAACATTATCCAGCATAAACCGAAACGAGCTACCGCTTACTTCCGTCCGAATGCCCGATTACAAAGTGAACATTGGAAAGACTGGAGCTGGATATGTTGCGCCTGGTGGCGACTGAGGTGCTCCTTCCGTTGATAACTTGCATTGCAGTCTGGGAAATCACAAATAAATTTCTCTGGCGATGTCATAGAATTTTGCGCATCCATAATAGCGACTCCACTGGGCGCGTTCCAGGTGAGATGGTGATGGTGGGAGGCTCCGGTGGGAGGCGAATTGATCTAAATTCGGCGGGCAACAAGGTGGGAGGTTCCGGTGGGATACCATCTAGATTTAAAATCGAGTGTCATGATGTAAGAATCCATTCCTATTTACTCTTGAATAGTATTATTCCATTTCTAATCAGAATGCGACCCTCCGCATATATACATCTGCTTCTCACCTCTTAGTTTCCTGAGGGTATTCCAACCCCATCCTCCATTCCTTCGGCAACTCTCTTTACTCCCAATTCAGAGCAATATGAAAGAAGCGATCAATCTTGCCGGACCAACTGTCAAGATTATCGACAGCCCGATCCCCGAACCGAACGATGACCAGGTTCTGATCAAGGTGGTAGTCTCCGGATCGAATCCTAAGGACTGGAAGGTCGCCGATTGGGCGGCTGCTGGAGATGCTAGCTTTGGCGTGCTAGCTAGAGCTAAGAATGGATTGAACCAAGGAGACGATATTGCTGGATTCGTCGAAAAGGTCGGCGCGAATGTGGTTGAGTTCAAGGTGCGCGATACAAATGCCATGTCTGCTGGGTCCTAGCCAACTAACGCTTCTTCAAGCCTGGTGATCGCGTTGCGGCTTTCCACGAGATGTGCACACCTGGGGGTTCCTATGCGGAATATGCAATCGCATGGAGTTATACCACCTTCCATCTACCAAAGCACACGTCCTTTGAAGGTGCGTTCAATACGCCATAATTTTGCTGCCCCGTAACTGACCATGACCAACTGAGCAGAGGCCGCCACGCTTCCCCTGGCAGCCTTGACTGCTTCTGTATCGTTGTACGCGCATAATCGCTTCCCCTTTCCCTGGGTGCCCGCCCAGAAGTCGATTCCATTCATTGTGTACGGCGCGAGCTCAGCTGTAGGCTCGTTTGCCATCAAATTGGCATCCAACAGCAACATCCATCCGATCATTGCAGTCGCCGGGAAAGGTTCTCACTATGTGGAGACACTGATTGACCGGAGCAAAGGCGACACCATTATCGATTATCGCGAGGGAGTCGAAGCAACCATTGCGGGAATCCGTAAGGGCCTACAACAAGCCGGCCACTCAACTGTCCATCATGCTCTTGATGCTGCAATCGTCCCACAAAGTGCAGAGGTCCTCAGGCAGTCGGTTGTTCCTGGCGGAATGGTTGATTTCATCTTACCGAACGACCTCGACGTCTCACCTGCTATCCACTCGGTGACTTCTGTGGGCTCGGTGCATAAGCAACCAGAGTTCGAGAATAATGAGGAACTAGGGTTTTCCATGTCGCGGTATTTTACTCGAGCCCTGCAGGACAAGAGTTTCTCAGGCCACCCTTTCAAGATCAGACCGGGAGGTTTAGAAGGCGTTGAACAGGCCTTGAAAGATCTGAAGGATGGAAAAGCAAGCGCTACCAAGTACATCTTTCGCATTGCTGAGACTCCAGGTTGCGCCTAGTGTATCATAGTCCTACAGCGCAATACAGAGTGAGCTCATGAGGCGATCAACCGCACCCAGTTTGAGAATGCGATGCTACGCATGGAGTAAACTCGATGGCTGCAAGGATGGCATCCTGAAGTGTCGTCGGCTGGCCGCAGAGGGCGACCCCGGCATGACCGGCCGCAATGAGACCGCCAACATAATCTCTCCAAGGCGAGTGACCAAAATAGACTAAACAAAATCTTCATAACATGCTATTCAATGCATATATGAGTGCTCTGGATGTTGTTGATATGCCCCGCATGCACAGTTCCAATCCTAATTAGGGCAATTGTTGTTTTGCTTCTTGGGTCATTGTAGGAAATAGTGTGCCATGTTTTTCTGATCATAGTGTTCTCCACACTTGTTGCTGTAACACACAATCTAAGGCAGTAGGTGATTTTCTGGGCGTCCTCAATAGTACACTATAATCCGCTTTTGCCATAGAGTAGTCATTAAGAATTATGTACATCCATAGTGCAATGTTACAATATTTCATGAGAATGAGGCTGAGTTCCACACAATTGGCATCAGTCTTAACCTCACCAGGCAATGATAAGGCAGTATGTATTAATTGTAAAGTCAACCGCAGTTGTAAATTGTAGGCTTTTGGCTATTCTATGGCATCACCAAACCAAAGGGTCAGTTTGGTGAGGTGAGATTGCAGGCTTGGCTTCACACATTTTATCTGACCCCCTTGTCAGGGTGCAGTGATCCTAGGTAGTACACTAACAGGCCTAGAATGTATCACAAGTCGAGGCAATGGTGAATGGTTACCACAAGTTATCTCATAGTTGTACAATATAATTCGCCGCGAAGTGAGGCCACTCATATTCAATGGCACCCGTTGAGGCAATCTGGTGTAGATAAATAATGTATAAAAGTCTGTTTTGCTCTCCCATTCACTGCTTGACGTAAGTGAAGTCACCTCAACATCAGCCCGTCACGAGTCACGAGATCCCTAAATCCGCTTAACCCCGGCTTATAACCGTTCCCTCTTACCTTTCCACCTTCACACCTCCATCTCTCTCCACAACAATCAACCATCAACGCAACCATGCGAGTCTGCAAAAGCGCCGACGCAGCCCTCTCCCTCTGCTCCCGGGACCCCTCTAAAGTCCTAGGCGTGACAGTTGGCTCCTACAACGTCACGCCCGGCCAGTTTATCCCACGAGGAGGTCCATCCCCCTCCTCCCATCCTCTCCATCCCCAAAATCCATCTAAACCAATTTAACCCCTCTACAGAAGCACAAGCAATCCCCGAAATCTCTTTCTCTACAACTACCACCACCGCCAACAAAACCTACCTCCTCGTCAGCATCGATCTCGACGGCCCCTTCCCCTCCTTCTCCATCCTAAGCCCAATCCTCCACTGGATCCAACCATCCCTCCACCCCACCCCGTCCAACGACAACACAACCACAACCCTAAAAGCGAACGCACCTTTCATCGCGAACTGGATCGGCCCCGAGCCCCCACCGGGAAGTGGCCCACACCGCTATGTGTTTTTGCTGTATGAGCAGCCGGAGGGGTTTGAGGTGCAGAGGTATGCGCCGGGGGCAGGGAAGGAGATGGGGATTTGGGGGCGGGTGAGGTTTGATTTGGATGGGTTTGAAAGGGAGGTTGGGCTTGGGGAGGTGGTTGCGGTGAATTATTTTTTGAGTAATTGAGTGTTACGGGGGTGGTTGTTTATTGTGGGTTGTTTTTCGTTGTGGTTGGGTATTATGGGATGGGGTTTATGGCGTGTTATGAGTATGGATCATTTTATATTCGTTCGGTTGTGATTCTAGTCTCAACTCACTGTTGATTAATGCGTTAAGGACTCACGAGTATCTTACAATGGAGAATCAGAAGGTCAAGCGAAATATAAAACATCCCCCAATGGAAGATATATGACTGAGTTAGATCGTCCAGACGATCACTGCTATACTCTATCTATGCAATGCAGCCGCTCTTAGAGCACTATACAGATAACCCAACTCACCAAACACCCCTCGCAAACATGCAACATGCAACGCTAGAAGACCATCCCCCTCGTCTGCTGCTTCCCCTTAACATCAATATTCTTCCAAAGCAACACACATCCAAGCGCCAACGGCATAAAGCACACACCTGCAAGCAACATCCGTCTTTGCACGTATCCATATGCCATTATGATAGCATCTCGTGCGGGACTTCCAACGGGGTACGACAGCTGCACTTCCAGTGATCCGTAGATCTCCTTCCAATTTGCTTTTTCACTCGCGGGGAGGTATTCAACCAGTTTGTCCGGCAGGAGGTTCGTCCAGATAGCACCCGATATCGACTGTCCGATTGATCCTCCGATACTCATAAAGAGACCCTCCAGTGCAAGAACGACGGCGACTTCGTTATGTGGTACCGCGGACATAGCGGCGAGTTGCTCCGTCATAACTAGTGTATCGCCAGAAAACGCCATGAAGATCTGTATAAGCACAATAAGACTGATATCTGTGCCTGGGTGCCTGAAGTAGATCATTGCGGCTGTGGAAATTGCTGAAACGGGAATGGCTACTAGACCCAACCACTTGAAACGGCCTGTGTAGCGGATCATGAGGCCGGCTATGGGAGCCCAGAAGGAGGAGCCGATGGTGAAAATGTTTGCTATGTAGCCGGCGTTGCGGATGTTTTGGTTATGGACCACTTGGAGGTAGGAGGAGAAGTAGACGTCCCATGTGCTGCAGTTTGTTAGCTCCAGCCATATAAGCAGCGAGGTAGAGAAACATACTAGAAGCTGCAAAACAAGGTAGCGGATAAAACACATGCACCGAAAACCGTTCGATCTTGGAGGTATTGAAATGGCACAAACGTCACTGGGGCAAAATACTTTTCCCAAACGCAGAATAGCGCTAAGAGAGCAACTCCGATAACCAGCATCGCAATGATATACAGATTGTGCCACTGATTCACAGAACTCGCGGCAAGAGTGAGGGGAAGAAGTAGCAGGGAAAAGCCGCCAACCACAAAAAGCAAACCAACAACTACAACACGTTAGTATCCGGCAAACGTTTTCAAGGAATTGAGACCTACTATCAAACTCGCGCGCATAGTGGTAGAGAATCTGGAGAGTCGTTCTCCCGCTGACCATGCGAAGGGGAGCAAGACCCATCTTCCTCACTTTATAGTTGCTGTACAGAAAAACAGCCGCGACGGGAATCGACACGACGGGAACGACAATGGCGAAGAAACCAAACGCCCATCTGAACGTGCTATATGTATGGAATAGCTGCGCAACGTATGGTCCAATGAAGACAGTCACGATAAACGGTGTCGAGTTCAGACCAAACATGATCATCCGGTTTCTGAGGGATGTGGTGTCCGCGAGGAAGATGTTGATCACGTATCCCATTCCGTTGTATCCAACCCAGTAGAAGACCTAAATAGTCAGCTTAGATCAATATAATGGTTCGGGATATTTACCTGAGCTGCAGCATAGGTCTCAACATTCCTGCAAGCCGCCATCAAAACGAGTCCCAATGTACACAGGACCGTCATCAAAATGAAACCCTCAACTCGCCCCCAAATATCAAGGATCTTCGCAATTGGGAGCTTCGAACAACCGGCGACAATACTGGACAAGGTCTGCGTCGTCGAGAACAGGGAATGCTGCTTGAAACTGGAAGTCACATACGGACCCAGACTGCCCGTGACCTGCTGTTGTAGCGAATTGACAAATGTCAGAATGTAAATACTGTTTCCGTCAGTTCCGTGTCCCGTTGGTTGACTTCCAGCCATGGTAGACCATACAAAACGTAAGTAAAAACCAGGGCTCGAAACGTCCATGAGGATGTAATAGCCTCGGCCTGCCGGACTCCATCCTGTCTGCGCTCGTCTTCTTCGTCGTTCTCGTCGTCGTCTCTGGTATCGATGTCGATTCTGTTTGGATCCGGTTTATTCCCTGCGATACCGTCCTGCGAGTAGTCGACCGGCGTGTTGGGCTCTAACAGCGAAGTCGAATCATTCGGAAGCTGAGTATATACTGCGGAAGCTGACGGCCCCGTGGTAGCTCTGTGGAACCGGGAGTTGGAGGGCATGGTCGCAACGTCCGATCATCGGGACACTCGGAAAGCAACAAAACAACACAAGAAGTGATACTGTATTCCCCTGGAATCAAAGACCTGGTTCTCACCCGTAAGCAAGAATACAAAGAGCTGAGACATAAGTCACAACCTCGCCATTTAGGCAGGTCTTTTCAGCTGTAGCAGGAGCAGGAGCAAGCGGATGATCAATCCTCCGGATGAGGCGACGGCGCATTGGGTAATATAATGGAATGGAATCCTGCAATTTATGAGGGTGCCTTTTTTTGCTCTTTCTTTTTCTGTTTTGCCGAGTCTTGCGAGTCTCTTATTGAAAGGAAATGGGCCCGCGGGGGAGGGGGGGGGCGTGATTGGCGAGGTTTTTATCAGATGATCCATCTGATAAGATTTCGCGCTGTCCTAAAGCGGCAATTGCCGACGTGCTACACGATCGGGTAGTGCTCGGAGATACTAAGGATGATACAGGAGTAGGAAGGGTTATCGTTGAGTCCTTAGAATGAGTGTTACCATTCCTTTAGAATACTGAGATGCGAAGGCTGAGAAGACCGAGTTCGGTGGGATACATATTTGCGGCATGGTGCTCCAGAGGTATTATTAACCACTGCACAGGGACATACATAGAAGTTAAAAACCAAACCCTCAACAGAGATGACTTCCTAGCGCGCGGCGTATACATTCATCAACATGATATATGGTCGGTGATTGAGTATGCGCAACTCAGACTACACGGCAATTTGACAGTACATAAGAAAGACGCTCCCATTCATTCCAGGTCCAGTAACTATTACATCTCTATTTTGATAAAACAGCAAAGAAAAGAACGCGAGTATCATCACCATCCGCACATATTCAGCAGTAACTCATAGGACGGGTGAGAACATGAGGATGAAAAAGCAAATTAACGTGACATCCTAAGGCGGTATGCAATATTATAACAAGCAGAAAGATAGGGGCAATAAACACAGTAAAAGGAAAATGATAGATGTCAGAATTGAAGTGAAAAGGGAAAAAAGCCGCCGCGTTTATAGGATGTCGGCGAAACATGAACATCTGTACAGTTCAAGAGGACAGTCGTTTACTCGGGCTTGCGAGCAACCATCAGGTACATCGGTGTGAAAAGCTTCTTTTCACCACCGGCAACAAGACAGTCACCAGCCAGCGCCAAGCTGTCGGCGGTCTTTTGGGATCCCCGAGGGAAGAGACCGACTTTCTCAAAGGCACCAACGAAACGGTGGGCAAGACCACGACCCCACCATGTCATACGGGCAATGGTGAGGAAGTCCCAGGGGGAAGTCATGTGTTTGAACGAACCGGCGAGAGGGTAGTACCACGGGATCTCGTCAGGACGGTCGGCCAAGTCCTCATTGTGGACGAGGTCGAAACCGGCGTTGCGGACGGCTTGAAGACCCTCCGAAACCCTGACCATGTTGGAGATACCATCACCCTGCTCGATACCAAGACGGATCTTGCGGTGCTCAGCGTTGTTGTTGTCATACTCGTCAGTCATGAGCCACTCGTAGACACCGAACACACCACCGGGCTTCAGCACACGGAAGATTTCCTTGTAGACACCCTCCAACTCAGGAGCGTGGACAGTCGCCTCGATGGCGTAAACAGCATCGAAGGAGTTGTCGGGGAAGCTCATTTGCATGAAGTCACCCTTGGTGAAGCTGAGCTTGTGCGACAGACCATCACGCTCAGCATACCGCGTCGCACGCTGGATCTGGTAGTCGTTGTTGTTGAGACCGACGACATTGGCGTCTGTGAACTTGACAATCTCACGAGCCGGACCACCAACGCCACAGCCGACATCCAGAACTTTCATACCATCCTTGATTTCCATGCGGTGAGCAAGGTAGTGTTCGTGACGGGCAATGGCTTGGAGGAAGGGTTCGCCGCGGGCGAATCGGCAGAAGTGGAACGAGGTTCCCCATCCGTATTCGTAGAAGTCGGTGGCAAGGTTGTAATAACTGCCAATTGTCAACTTCCATCCACGTATTCAATTTGAGTGAGAGAAAACCTACTGTCTGGTCAAAGTCGCATACTCCGCTCGGCGGGCCTATTTTGAAGACAAGCAATCAGCCACCTGTCATGTCGCACAAGATAACCTGCACACGGAAATACTCACAGCGCGAGTCTCCTCTGTCTCCTCCTCAGCGGACTTGTTGTCCCAGTGCTTAAAGTACTCATCGACAGCAGCCTTTTGCGCAGCGGCGTCCTTGCCGCGCATAGCAGCGAAACCACCCTGAGCCCCAGCGGACTTTCCGTGAAGGACACGGGCGAACTCAGCATCGCGCTTGTGGTCCTCTCTTTCCAAGTTGGAGGGAGCCATTATGAGAATGTGTCGGGTGTTTTTTTTTTTTTGAAAAGGGGTGACAGGTAAATTCCGCGGAGCTGCTCAATTGTACTCGGAGTAAGACGTGTTCAATTCCTCCAACAGAGCAATGATAGTGATGAAAAGAGGCGCAAAACTGAGAAAAACACAGCAATGAGAAAATAGGAAGAAAGATGCTGGGAGAAAAACAAAAGGCCAGCACAGAGGAAATAGAAAAGAAAGGAGGCGGACTGCGCAGTGCGATGATCCCTGGCCAATCACGATTATTTGTTTGTCTGGAGCCATCTGGGGTCCCGGCCGGAGAAAGGACATTCCGAGGGAGGCGGTGAACCGGATCTAGACGCCTCCGTCGTCGCCGTGAGATGGCCCGATCGGGAGGTTAAGGTCACGTGCCGTCACTCGTCCGGATGCAGGCGCTCCGAGCGTTCGAGAGCTTCTCTTATCGCTTGCTTATCGCTCTTATCGCTGACGGAGAGCAGAATCAAGGTTCCGAACCTCACCGCCTTTTCCACAGTCACGTGAGTTTAACCAATCACCAGCCTCATCGCACCGCCACAGAGTAAGACTCCTATCGATAAACGTTTGTCCTGCGCGACTTCGATTACTCGTGGCCTGCTTTTCAATTAAAGACAGGTCGTTCACTTCAACCATGCCTCCCCAACAGATTAAACAAGATCTTAACCGGTCCGGTTGGGAAAGCACCGACTTCCCTTCGGTTTGCGAGAATTGCCTCCCGGACAACCCATATGTACAGATGCTGAAGGAGGACCACGGCGCAGAATGCAAAATTGTATGCACTCCCCCTTCGCAGTTCCCCGAAATGTATGCTAATAAACATCTAGTGTACGCGTCCGTTTACCATTTTCCGGTGGAAAGCCGATCGCACCGCACGCACGAAGCGCACCAGCATTTGCCTGACATGCGCCCGCCTAAAGAACTGTTGCCAGTGCTGCATGCTCGATTTGTCATTCGGCCTGCCCATCGTCGTCCGTGATGCTGCCTTGAAAATGGTTGCTCCGGGGCCCCAGAGTGACGTCAACCGCGAATACTATGCCCAAGAACATGAGAGGGAAATCGAGGAAGGACGCGGTGCTGTGGAGGAATACGAGAAGACGGATGAGAAAGCACGGGAGCTGCTCCGCAGGCTTGCGAACAGTGAGCCTTATTACAGGAAGCCCCGGCGGCTGGAAGCTCCTCCGGGTAATGAAGAGGAAGCCGAGGCACCGTCGTCGGAGGCGCCTCAAGTACGCAGCCGTTACGGGAACGGCCCCGGACCTATTCGGACAAGCGAGAGCAGAAGGGGAACGCCCTTGCCTGGCCGTGGAGGAGTTCGTGGAGGTCGTGGTGGCCGCGGTGGCCGGTCGTTCCCTAGTACCGCACAACTTCCACCATCGGCGGAGGACATTCTCCCTCCTGCGGATCCCAACGTCACCTCGCTCTTTGTTTCCGGTGTCGAGGACGATCTTCCAGAACATACATTGCGCACATTTTTCACGCAGTTTGGCCAACTCCGGTCTCTCGTCTGCTCCCACCGCTCTCATTGCGCATTTGTCAACTATCTTACTCGCGCTAGCGCCGAAGGCGCCGCGGCACATTGCCAGGGCAAGGCTGTCGTAAATGGTTGCCCTCTGCGCATCAAGTGGGGAAAGCCTAAGCCTTTGGATAACATGAGCAACGAAGAGCGTATTAAGAATGCCCGTGAAGGAAGACAGACTGCCGGTGCCATCCGAGGCGGGCAGCCGGAGAAGAAGGCTATCACTTCTGGTGAAGATGCCGCACAGCAAGAGACCCCTCGCAATTTCGCCGTGGCCCCGCCCCCTGGAAGCAGCGAGGTTCAATATTCGAGTTTGCATGGCGACTAATTACCTGTTTATACGATTTGATTTCAATGAGACAAAGGAAGTTGCATAATGTGTACGTTAGAGAGCGGGCGTTGATTTCGGCTTATGTTTTACACACAGTATCCAATAAAATACCCCCAAAACGCCAAAGGAGAGAAAAAATTGGGTATACTATAATACAATCTGCGAGTGCTTCTGCTTTCACTCCAGTAATCGTTCAGAAGAATACAGTATGCGTAGGCGTAAAGACCGTCCATGAGAAACGAGGAGAAAGGAAATCGTCAAGGCACGCAACAATCATTGCGCCGAGCAGGGCTTATCAACCTTGACAGTCTTCCCTCCAACCTTAATCGAGTCATTATCCCCTCGCTCGATCTCCTCGTGGATACGGAGTTCTGTCACAACAATGTCAGCATCACCCATTATAATACAACCTGACAGTACATTGCCACCGGAGTAGAGAAAAACGCACCCCATCTCGCATCCTCAACACCCTGTTCCCGTGACCCCTGCACGAGGTTATGTCTAAGGAGATCCGCCACTTCAACGGCATGCTTAATCTGCATGGGTGTATCGACGGCTAGACGGCGGTGGGCATCGAAGTTCCGGCGTGCTTCTTGTCGGGATGCGATGAGGACTCGGACGTCATCTATAAGCCACCAATGTCAATATCATGCTGCTTCGGTCGATTTGGGAGGTATCTCACCTCGGAAAGCGACGCGGGTGGCGCGGAGGAGTTGGCGGTAGGCACTTCGTGCGGATACGGCGGTTTGGGGAGCCATGGTATAGATATTGATTGCAAATAAGACAGTGGTGTAGAATGGTGAATGTCAAACGTAGTTATCGAGCTGCTTCTCCGGAAGAGCGGGTGGCGACGATCTGAAGAATCGAGTCGCAACGGTCACAGAATGAAACGAGCTGAACTTCCCCAGTACAAGCAAGATTCCAGCAAAGCAGTAATACTAAATCGAAGCAAAACAGACAATCGAAGTTGAGTCTGAGAAGTACTCGCAATCCGAAATTCTACGATAATCCATGCCTCCAAAACTAGCTCACCATTATTGGCCCACCAAAAGGCGGGATTCCTCGGCAGAAAAAAAATTGCTTTGACTTCTTTCGATCAGCGCCGCACAACCCTCACATCCCACCTCCAATCTCCTTCAAAGCATAACACAGCAGAAGGAAATCAGGAAAAATGGTTGCTGTGCAGACTGTTAACGCTACCCTCCCCCTCGTGTCCGGGGGCTGGAGCGCTGAGAAGGACTTCAAGGCCGTTGGTGCCTTGTCGGGCGCTACTCAGAGGAATTTGGAGCCTGTTGGTCCTTATTTCCTGGCTCATGCTCGCCGTGTATGTCTTCTTCTTCTTCTTCTCTATCTTTTATGAAATGATGGAATTTGAATTGCTAACACCCCCTAGGCCCGTCACGGCCGTACCTTCTCCGAGGATGAGCGCATCCAGGCCCAGAACACCGCCAAGAAGACCGAGGAGGATGAGAACGACGACATCTCGGACTCCGAGGATGCCATGCTGCTCTCCCGCGAAGCCAAGGACTGGAAGAGCCAGGACCACTACGCTGTCATGGGTCTGGCCAAGCACCGCTGGCGCGCAACCCCCGACCAGATCAAGCGTGCCCACCGCAAGAAGGTCCTCCGCCACCACCCCGACAAGAAGGCCGCCATGGGAGACCGCGACGAGAACGACCAATTCTTCAAGTGTATCCAGAAGGCCTCCGAGCTGCTGTCTGACCCTGTCCGCCGCCGCCAGTTCGACTCTGTTGACGAAGCCGCCGAAGTTGAGCCCCCGACCAAGAAGGAGGCTGCTGCTAAGGGTAAATTCTTCAAGCTCTGGGGACGGGTTTTCGAGTCCGAGGCTCGTTTCTCCAAGATCCAGCCTGTGCCTTTGTTTGGTGACGACAACACCACCCAGGAGGAACTTGAGAACTTCTACAACTTCTGGTACAACTTTGACAGCTGGAGATCGTTCGAGTACCTCGATGAGGATGTTCCTGACGACAACGAGAACCGTGACCAGAAGCGTCACATCGAGAAGAAGAACGCCAACGCCCGCCGCAAGCGCAAGACCGAGGACATTACCCGTCTCCGTAAGGTCCTAGACGACGCCTCGAGCCAGGACGAGCGTATCAAGAAGTTCCGCCAGCAGGCCCGTGCCGGTAAGGACAAGAAGCGTCTTGACAAGGAGGCCGAGGCCAAGCGTCTAGCCGAGGAGAAGGAGAAGGCCCGTCTGGAGGAGGAGCAGCGCAAGAAGGACGCCGAGGAGGCCGCCAAGGCTGACCGTGAGAAGAACAAGAAGGCCAAGGAGGCCGCTAAGAATGCCGCTAAGAAGAACAAGCGTGTTGTCAAGGCCTCTGTCAAGGATGTCGGCTACTTTGCCGAAGGCGAGCCTTCTGCTGCCCAGGTTGACTCTGTCTTGACTGACGTTGACCTTATCATGGGCAAGCTCGAGGCCGAGGACCTTGCTTCGCTCGCTGAGCGTCTTACTGCTGCTGGAAAGGATGCTGGTGCTGTTAAGAACGTGTATGTTGAGGAGGTCAAGAGACTGGTTGGTGCTGGCAAGCTCAAGGAGGGCGAGGCCAAGTCTTTTGCTTAATTGGATATGTCGACGACTTAATGTCTTTTCATGATGCTTTCTAGATATGCTTGCATATACATGTATATAGATAGAAAGCGTTTTTTTGGTACGGAGAATCAATGATGACTTCCACCACATAAAAGAGAATTGTAGCGCTAAAATATGTTGACACGGTTTTCCTTATGATATCAGAGCCGATTCTAGTTACGAATTACCATCCTTCTTTCTCGATGTGTAGAATTATGAACGTTTAATATCCGAACATCATCCTCGGTTATCCGTAAATCCGTACAGCTGATGACACATGAGCAGTCCATACCAACACTATTCCTCACATCTGTTGTCTCCAAGAACTCAAACTAAATCATATCAATTCTCCCTACTTCCTCAAAATGCCATCAACCAATTTCCCATGGGTCAAGAAACCCCTCCTAGCCAACGCCCCAATGGCCATGTCCGCCGGCCCCGCCCTCGCCGTGGCCGTCTCTCAAGCAGGCGGCCTAGGATTTATCGGCCCAGCAATGGATGCCAGTGGCACAGAGCAGAACTTGAGCACCGCCGCCAAGGCAATCCGGGAATCTGAATCTCTGTCCAGCCTGCTACCCTCTGGTCACCCGACTCTGCCTGTCGGAGTAGGCTTTCTCCTCTGGAAAGATGAGTTGCAGACAGCTTTGTCCGCTGTAGCGTCGCACAAGCCATGTGCAGCATGGCTATATGCACCCCGCAACGGCCAACAGGAACTCGATGAATGGATGCAGGGGATCCGCGGGGCTTCGCCGGAGACACAGGTCTGGATTCAAATCGGGACCGTGGCAGAGGCACGGTCCATAGTCGAAAGTGCACATCGGCCCGATGTCGTCGTCGTGCAAGGTGCTGAGGCGGGTGGTCACGGCCGGGCAAAGGATGGAATGGGGCTTATTACTCTGCTGCCTGAAGTCGCAGATGTGTTTATGGGCCATGGTATTCCGCTCATTGCTGCCGGTGGCATTGCAGATGGACGGGGCGCTGCTGCTGCTATCTGTCTGGGTACGAATGGGGTAGTTATGGGGACACGGTTTCTGGCGTCGACTGAGGCGCGCATAAGTAAAGGGTATCGGGATGCTGTCGTCCAGGCTACGGAGGGTGCTGTTAATACTACGCGCACGTTACTGTATAACCACCTCCGCGGGACGTATGGATGGCCTGAGCCGTTTAGTCCGCGGACGGTGACGAACCGCAGCTGGGAGGACCATGTTGCCGGCGTTTCGTTTGATGAGTTGAAGAGATTACACGACGAGGCTCAAGCTAAAGGCGATGCAGGATGGGGACCTGAGGGGAGGTTGGCTACGTATGCAGGAGCGGGTGTTGGGTTGGTTGGTGAGGTTCTGGATGCCGGTGAGATAGTGGAAAGAGTTCGGGACGATGCGGCACAGCGCGTGAGAAGGGCGCAGGATGTGGTTTGATGACAGTTCGGTATTGTCTAATGACACTGCCTATCACAATGAGGGTATTACATAGATAGAAGGATGTACGAAATACGACGTTCGCTTGTCTCCGATGCATAGAGAGTCTGAGATGCCGACACGTGCCTCTGCCATCTCGGTATTGTTCCACACCCCGCATGGCTTGACCAATGAAAATATCCAAATGGATAAGCTTTAGAAACGAAGATACTCCACTCCAGCCACCATACCATATCAAGCCTAGTAACCGGATATCACACCCAATCAGCGCAAGGGGATGGACAACGTGGAACAAGCACCTCGATCTCGCCTTCCCGATTGGGAACCCCTCAAGCCCGACAGTCCAAAAGGACCGATTGGTCAGCGCACGCAAAGCGACAAGATCAGCCGTATATAAGAGCAGCCGATCGCTGTCTTAGCCTTCTTGTTTTTCTACAAAATTCCTGTCGAGTCAAGCTTCTCAGCGTTGTTGGCATCATGCACGCCAAGGGTTCTCTCGTCGCCCTCCTCGGAGGTCTTTCTCTTGCTGTTGCGCAGAGCTCTCATAACCCGTCTTCCGAGGAAATCGCAAAGGCACGGGCGACTGTTAAGCCTAACTCTCCGGTTTCGAATGTCCAGGGTTTGTCGTTTAACCGGTTTGTCAATATCTGGTTGGAGAATACGGTACGTTTTCTTACGCATTGATCGCACGCACCGGGAACTAACGACAATGTCTTCGCATAGGACTATGAAGCCGCCGCAAAGGACCCCCATCTCTCCAAGCTCGCCAAGCAGGGTGTCACCCTGACCAACTTCTGGGCCCTCACGCACCCTTCGCAGCCCAACTACTGTGCCTCCGCTGGTGGTGATACCTGGGGTATGGACCATGACGAATTTGTCGAGCTTCCCTCCAACGTCTCAACCATTGCGGATCTCTTCGATACGAAGAACATCACCTGGGGCGAGTACCAGGAACACCTGCCCTACGCCGGCTACCAGGGCTACAGCTTCTCCGAGACCGACGCGAGCGACTACGTCCGCAAGCACAACCCGCTGGTTCTCTTCGACTCTGTCACCGATGATGACACTCGCGTCCGCCAGATTAAGAACTTTACCAGCTTCTACGATGACCTGAAGAACCAGAAACTCCCTCAGCACATGTTCATTACTCCTAACATGACTAACGATGCCCACGACACCGACATCACCTTTGCCGGTAGTTGGACCTACCGCTTCCTCGCTGAGTTGCTCGAGGACGAGTACTTTACCAAGGACACTCTGATTCAGCTCACCTTCGATGAGACCGACACCTACGAGATCGGAAACAAGGTCTTCACTTTTCTTCTTGGCGGCGCTGTCCCTGAGAACCTCAAGGGCAAGGAGGATGACACCTTCTACACCCACTACTCCATAATCGCCTCCTTGTCCGCCAACTGGGGTCTTCCTTCGCTTGGTCGCTGGGACTGCGGTGCCAACCTTCTCAGTTGGGTTGCTGAGAAGACCGGGTACACCAACTGGGAAGTGGAAACCGACAACTTGTACCTCAACGAGACCTACCCGGGCCCGTTGTCTAAGGAAGAATACTCTGAGTACTCCCCCAAGTGGGCTGTTCCCCTTACGAGTGGTACCTGCTCCGGTGGTCGCAGCATTCTCAACACTGTTAAGAAGACCTGGGCTGGTCTCCAGCCGACTTACAACTACACGAGCCCTATTCCGCATGATGTCGCGAATGGGAACTCTGTCGGTGTCAAGTACTACAGGACTAAGGTATGTTCTCAATTCGTATACTCATCTATCTGTCTATCGATGCTAACTCTCGTAACAGAACGGAAAGCAATCGGTCCACGTCACCGGATCTGAGTAAGTATTGAATCTCGTACATAGAGCCACAAAATTCTGTTTCTTTAATGTATATCTTGATCATTGCATGTTTATAGAATTGTACCTTTTTTGAATTCTAGACTGTTCAGAAGTGGACCTTTGCTGATATTGATGGTGTAAACCGGCACCAAAACGCCCTTCCCTCGCCCTACCAATCGAGCGCATGTCACTCGAAAATGCAGTCGGGACTATTCCTTTACATACAGGGTTTGTTGCAGTGTGTACTTCAGAGATGATTTGATAATGATACCACGTGGATTTGTTTTGTCAATTTTTAGCTCGTGAGCTCGTGTAATGTGTCCACGCCTGAAGGAATCACATATCTCTGTGCGATATCTCGTCTGTGTGTGGATCAATGAAGATGGTCCCTGCGTCGGTCACCAGGAAATTGACACGCTTCATTTTGCCTTGTCTTTGGCCGGTGTCGAACAAGCATTCGTCCAACATGAACGGAGCGAATAGTAATGGGACCATCGATGGTTTTGTGGCTGCCAATGGTCTTCAAAGCTCATTGTATTGATCAAACTAGGTATGAAGGGTTGTGGGAAAACAGGGGTCACACAGTGGCACATTGGCTATAACCCTAGTTCATGGTCACCTTGATATGTATGGTCGTTCATGCCGTCCTTCCACGTGGAGTGCACTCTTCACCATCTTCGACCTCTTTGACCTCTTTGATTCCAGTGTCCTTTGTAATTATTGATATAATCCATTGGGACAGGAGCCTTGGGGAGGGAGGGGGGGCTCCGGTGTCGATCATATTGTCTTGATAAAGGGCATTTGTGAGGACTTGCTGGATGCTGACCTATATTTTCTAGGCATATAAGTGTCGGTAAGTCTTTTGGTATATGCTAGGATCACGTTAAATAGCCAGTCACATTTGACAGATATTGTAACTTGTGGCTCATCAATCCGTAGCACTCGCTATTAGGTATGTAGGGTAACTGTCACAGTAAACCGGGTGCTCCACATGAAAATGAAAAACGCTTCAGCAGCCGACAGTGGCCTTACGGCAGTTGCCATTTTTGGGTAAATCCCAAGCAATCGTTCGTAGCTGTGATTATGCTGTGAGCGACTTTTGGCGTCTCACTTTGTCTCTCGAGTTGCTATTAGATATTTCTTGAATTCGGCCAAGCTTTTCAATCTCGTCTCAATGTCTCCATTTGAAAGGACGTATTTGATATACCCGCCTATCGCCTGAAAGAAAAAGCTCTCGGCTTGCGGCCTTCGGTTGCAATGACTGACTTTCCTTTGGCTTTATAGCTCTGTTTCGGAGTTCACTGGTATATTTTAGGAAAGAACCAGTCATGTAGCTTTCCTCTGACCTACTGGGTTCTCCCACGGCAAACACCCGTGACGCTGGTGAGGTCGATGTTTCTTTTTGGTGACTCCACAACAGTTTATTCTTTGGTAACAACTCGGCGCTTCGCAAAATGAGTGTCTTCGTCCACAATATGGGACTCTGCTAGCATCTGTGGCATCGCATCGAAGGGAGCATAATCCCCACCTTGTTCCAATATAGTTGAGAATGTTTCGAAACGCATTGTTTCTCATCGTTACGTGCCACATGGGTTGATTTGGAAGAACCATCCAAACCCTCGCCGTTGCACGCCAGCCACACCTTGTGGTTTCATCTTGTTCTCGAGCGTCGGACAGTATGTAAATTGTGCACTTGGTGGTGGTTTTCACGTCTGTCAGCTGCACAGTGGATCTTTATTCTCATCTTTTTCGATGGCTGGGTCGAAACTAACAGTGCAAATACTGCAGAGACAAGATGTTTGTCTGGAATGTCTGTGGTAGTTCCAACCAGTCTCATCCAATGAGTCTAGTATGTCACAAACTTGGGTTGGAGAAACTGAATCTGGGAAGCTTTGCGCTTTGTAGATGCAAAAAAAAAAAAAAAAAAAAAAAAAAGCGGTTTTTTAGTCTGTATAGGTCCATGATGGTGCGCGAGAGTGTGCCATGTCAAGTAGCACTAGACGTAATGTAGCAGCAATACGTTGTAGACCTTCCAGCGATTCTTTTAATTCCATCCACAGCTGTTGCGAACTGTCGTATAGTATCAATTATCTGCAGTATATTTGCGTCTAAGGGAATTAAGACCCGTAAGGGCCATAAGTTCATGCACCTTTGGTCACTGCGTATCCATGTGGCATTGTACAAGCCAAATAAACTCTAGAATTCATAACGTAAGACAGAACGACAGAAGATGCAACTATTGAAGTCAGTCCCCCCATTGATCAGTAGATCGGTATCATATTTGAGGCTTAGATATCCGCTGAGATTCCACCAAGTCAGTTAGAGCTTGCATCGAGCCATAGGCCGTGCTGGGTTTGTATACTGGCTTTTTTCATTAGGGCTGCCTGCTCTGTATGCATAGACCCTCTTAATTTAACTGGCCATTGGACGCTGGTAGTAGAATTTCGACTATCTATTGTTGCTGTACGTGTATTTGGTCGACCTTTTGGTGGATTCCGTCCGTTGGACTTTTGTTTCAAGTGGTTCTCGCATTTTATCGCTTGATACCCTGGCCAGAACACTCGTCAATACTACATTACATTAGAAAGGAACAACAGTATGGCGACTCGTGTCTATTCCAATTTTCAAGACGCCTTTGTTGCCGACGGTAGTCGGCTTCTTTGACTAATGTCAATACAAGTGAATGCTGGATCCAACCAAGATTCCTGAGGCGTGGGAAGTATCGTGGTGTATTTAAGATTCATTTCCCATGTTTTCATGTGTTTTCGATTATCTGGAAGAGATACTGCGGTGATCTGAAAGGACGCCAATGCAGTGAGCATAGTGTAATGGCTTGGTTCCACCAAGATTTATTAATGTATTTATGACTTCCAAGTAATATAAAGTGCATATCTCGGTGTGGTATTCCTCTAAGGAACAATAAGGCAATCTCTGCTAATCAGCAAACTCTGGGTAGCGGATTACATATTCCCAGAGGGTTTGGGTGGTGGCCATATTGGAATTGGGGCAATCTAAACAGCAGCGAAGAATCGCCATGCTGCAATAGCAGTTCGCCGATAAGACTGAGAAGGTATTCAAGAAAAGAGGCAGAACGGCTATTTTTGTTGAGAATAAGTTACTGTGGAAGGTCAGTAATATTTGACCTCGAATGATCCATACGA